AAGCAAAATTCGGCGTGAAATTTAAACGGAAAGAAGAGAAACAGGTTTATCTTCACAAACTGCATGAAAAAGGGATAAGATATAATGCTGACCAGTGACCCAATGTTCTCCACCACCTCTGTTTCCTTTTCACATAATTTGAGATGAATCAACCAATAGTTTTAAGACTGATAAACGCAGAACCCAGAAAACATGCGTTTTCAATTTATAGTAACAGTGAACGATCGATCATAACGGAATATCGACAGTTGTATCTTTCATATAAACAAAAACAAAAATGCATATAAACTGACAAATTCTGTAAATAATAACAGAACAACACCAAGTGGATTACACGTCAGTTTTTCGCTTTTTTGCAGCCGGCCTTTCAAAGTTATTTTTCATACCACCGGCGTGTTTTACGAGGAATTTACTATTTAGTGCAGTCGTAGCTGCCCAAGCACCCTGATGATCAGTCGTATCCTCTGCTGTCAAATGCGTCCATTTCGAACGACTAGCTTTCCCGAAGTTTTTGACCTCAAACAATAGTAATTTTTTTTTAATTTCCTGAGCTGAATTACTTATCCTCCGAAGCAGCTCGAAACACGCTCCATTTACATAATTTTGTCTTATTTACACCTAGCAAACATCTATTCGCAAACTAAACATTTGACGGAGAGCATCTTTCACATTTGCATAGTACCAGCAATATTTGATAATCTTCAACTTTAATTAAGAAGGTGCTAGCTAAAAACTTTATTCGTCTTGACTTTATTTCTGCATCTTTTATTGAGCATTACCTAATATTTTGCACACCATTTTTACTAATCGGCTTTCATTTTATTCATTTCATATCGCATACCATAAAGATCTCCAAATCAGTGCAGCTTATTAAAAATTTCTCGCAATCAATAAACTGGAAGATTTAATCTAATCCTCTCAAATGATGTATATTGTTACCTGCATAACCTTCGGGAGCACAGACTTATCAAACTGGTCGTCAAGCGTTGCCTCAGCGAAATCTCGTTTGAATATATCGTCTTCAACATCCAGATAGAATGCTCCACGGTGGAAGTATTTTTGAAGGAACTTGTACTTCCCCTTCTTTTGCTGAAATTTGCATTCAAATCAAAATAAAAATATCTATCAAAAAATGAAAATAAAGTATCGGAAAGGAGATCTCTTCATGCAATCACTTTTTTGATATAGTAGAAGATACCAGCCACATCTGAGAAACAAACAAATCTAAACAGAGAAGTTAATGAAACATCTAACGTTAATTAAAGAGGTGTTTTAAAAGAAGGGAATTACGGAAACATATACGTTATTTCACGAAATTCAACAGATTTACGAAATCAATGGAAATAGAACTACGCAAACAGAAATCATTAACCATGTTCGTAATAACTTTTGGATTCATTCTTAAATACTGCTTGCGCTCTTCTTCTGTCATGCCATGTATTCGATCTAATTCTGCTTTTTCTCGTGCAAGTCTGCAAAACTTATGTATAAATATACTCCAGCAAACAATGATGCCGTAAGGCAAAATGTCCAAACCCATCCAACTTCGCCAAACGACTATTCCCCATAAAAATATTCCACGTCTCTCTATTAAGAAAATTCGGACATTAAATAGAATGCAAAATCAGACAGTTTTTTTTACCAGTTACAAAAGAATTATGATGCTAAGCATTCTGCAAGCGTGATATCATGTTATAAAATGTTGTAGATATATCCCTATAATAATCGTTTAGTAGCTCATCTAGACCTGTAGACCTGGCAAATTAAATCTTAAGAGAAGTTTTTCGCCCGCTGGAATCGCAAAAAAAAAAAAGACTATGTCAAGTAATTCGCTGCTTACGCATAAACGATTATTATATAAACGCTGCTTACGCATCGCGTTCCTCCTTATTTCTCTTTAATCGCTTCATTTCACGGAGCTTCCAACTTTCGTATGCAATTTCTTCATTTTCATCATCAGTCACAACTGATGTCAAATCGATATTATCTTCCTTCTTCCTTTTTTCCATATCTGCTTCATGCCGTAAAACCTCTTCCAATAACTACAAAATCTTTACATATGTTCCAGAATGAAAGTTCCGAAAGGCCGCAACGAATTTTGTTATTTATTATGCTTTATTTTACGTATTTTCACAATACGCATATATTTATTTTTAAAGAAATATAGATGCCTTTCAACAAACGACTAGAATGAGATGAAGCATGATGGTGTTTTTAGGAAATAAGGGAACTTTAGCCACGATTAACTTATAATTAAAAACTATGTTACAAAATTATTTTAAGTTAAAGAGTAAAGAAGGAACTAAAAAATTAAGAAAGGACTAAAATGACAAACTTCAAAGTGGAATTACCTTTGCAGATTCTTTCTTCCGTCTTTCCTTCCTTTCTTGCTCCTCAGCTTGCTGCCTCTTGGCACGTTCTTTTTCCTTCTCTTCTTCTATTTTTGTTATTCGTTTACTCCTTAATACAGTGATATAAAAATCACATTTTCAATTAAAATTAGGAATTAGAACCACGAGAAACAGGATAAAGAATATATGGATGTACTTTTCTACGAAGACAGGTTTCATTCTAGGGACCGTCTCATCTTCGCTTTCTTCACTTTCTTCTTCGCTTGATTCTTCTTCACTATCTTCATCTTCTTCTGCTTCTTCCTGCTTCCCTATGAGTTCTTCTTCTTCCTTGATCAAAGCACGTGCTCTCAGTAAAGCTCGTCGTCTTTCAAATTCTTCCTGCAGTTCCCTTCCTTATTAAAACAAAACGAATAGCAACAGAAAATAAGTCATCGAAGAAAAAATTACTACCGCAAAACTGTTGTACAACCATGCAAGAAAGGAAGATCAAAAGGAGAACTGAGCAACTTATACGAACATTATTTGCAGGAGGATCATACTTACCTCATCATCCTCGTCAGGTTCATCTTCCTCAATAGGAGCCTCTTGCATTTCCAATTGCATTCGTCGTAATCTTGCTCTCGTCCTTCTTTTTTCCGCTTCTTCATCATCATCTGAACTCGATGCTGCTCCTACTTCTTCTTTACTTACATCCGTTGCGCGTCTCCTAAACAAGGGAAATGATCCCTTTTTCAGTGGTAACATGCTTAGCTCTTTGAATAACTAGTAACACTTTGCACCAGCATGGCGTAAATTAAAAGTTTTAATAGGGAAAAATTAAATGAATAGTGACTGAATTAAATGTAATAAAAATTAACAAAAATAATCATCAAGGCTAAGAAGTTACTCACAGCTATTCACTACTCAAGTGTACTTTCAAAACAGCAGTAATGGAGGTTCTCAAAAGAGGACCAAACCAAGTAAGCTGAAGTTATGTATTTCATTTGACCGCTAATCTCACAGCTATTTACGCCGTTCGATCTGAACATTATGGTAATGTCCTCCGAGTTCTTTTCAGATATCACAGAATATGAATCGTTGCACTTTTATCCAGTTCAACTAACATCACTTCCATAACTCAGTAAGGTGAGGTAATGAATTCAAGAAAACATAGTGATGATACAAAAAGCTCTTTGAAGAACGACTATGAAACATAAGCTTACGTTTCCCTTTGCCAAGCATCATTAAGAGGTTTCTCTTGTTCCTCATCACTCTGCTCTCCATCAGATGAGTCGTTTTTTCCCAAGGCATATGTTGGTCTGAAATATGCATTATCTACAAACATAGGTTTACCACAACAATCTAACTCAGTTTAAACAAAACAATTAATAAAAAAACAGTGTAATAGTGAAGTAAATACCCAATAATTTCAGCTATTACTTTTCAATCAACCACTTCAGATATAATTTAAAATTTTAGTACTAAATTCTTTTGAAAAAACTTGGAGATGAAAAACGTACACTTTCCCAGCCATATATCGAACCACCTTCACTTTTTGCATTGTTATTTCACCCTTTTCATTTCTTATGGCAATAGCACCAGCAGTAGGAAGAGCCTTCGGGCCCGTACTGCGGCTTTCCAAATCTCGCTCAAACTTCGGGGTGAATTCTCCCATACCTAAAGCAAATACTGCATGTACTGATTAGCAAAATTCAGACACTAATAAGAGTTTCTTGAAGGAACGAAATACAACAATGTCGATTGACGACCACTATCAGTTAGAACCAGTACAATAACCACTGAACACTGCACTTTATTTTCAGTTACAAGCTTCACAGCATGCGCAATTATCAGTTTAAAAGCTAACAATGAATGGTAGATAGAATGATCCATTTAAAATCTTTCCCAATGATTAGAAAGATGTCTCAAGCAGACACTAAGACAAAGAACGTAAAATTTAGTGGTTCTCAAGATTTCATTCATTTCTTTCAAAACTCGAACAAAATTAAAGCTCTAAGTGAAGCATGACAAAAATCAACCACAATAGCATATAATCCTATCCTGAAAAGAAAAAATAGAAAAATTTTGATAAGATTGCATAGCATTAAGCATCATCAAGAAAACATTGGCACATGATAAAAACCTTCATCCCAATATACTTATGTTTAAATTTACACTGATATTATTGAAACAACTGTCGAAAATCATAAATATTGAGTACTGAGGAACATTAATAGAGAAAGAGAACCACTGTATATTTCGAGTTTCTCCTGCGAGCTTTCAGGAATTTTAGACCTACAAAGAACCTCAACGACTGCAAGTCCACAAGGAGTTTTGAATTTCTTATTCAAGAAACTTCATTGTGTTTCTATACGTTGTTGCACTTCTGCACTTCATTCCTGCAGTTGCATTTTTTAAAATAAGAGATTTGGCGTTAAAGGTCCTTTGGAGATCTCTGGAAGGTCTTAGAAAAGTATCTTGAAGGGTTCCTTTTCTCTAGTAGTCACTCGTCATTGCAGCAAATACTTATCGATTCTCGAAAAGAAAAATCAATGCTGGATTGTGTGTTTTACTGGATATTTATGATTTCTGAAAACTGCTTGAATAACATTCATGCCAATTTAATCGTAAGGATTTTCGGACTTTTTTCCCTTTTAAGATATGATTATACGCTCCTACAGGTGATTTGATTTATGATGTGCTGCACTAAGAGTTTTTACTTCACTTAAGTTTCCTAAACGCCACTAAATTTCATAGTTGAACTATTAATCAAGTTGAGTACCAACAAACAAAAACATATTGTATTAATTTATATCTCTTGACATCTTAACTACCTACTTCAGAATTAAAAAAGTGAGAAAAAATCATAATAAAATAAGAGGAATTATAAATTTTCCATGCGACAGAGTGATTCAATGTGACTCAAAACAATATCGTTGTTATCGGTTTTAACTACTGCCTCAGTATTGTCCACGGACACCAAGGTACCGCTGATGCCAATATCATCACCGTATATTATTTTTGCCTGAATACAACCAGTGTAATAAGTCAATCAGTCTTTAATAAAGCACTATTTGACAGTGCAATCGATTTCGAAAAGGCCAGTAAGTGTTTTCTACCTATCGCTTGCACATGAGCTTATCTGACATGCCGATCTTTAAATTCTTGAAAGAAAATATGAAGAGTTAGCACTAATTGGAACTACTACATATTTCTGTGCACTCGGTCATTTATCATGTTAACAAGTCCTGCGCAAAGACCTGAGTCTCGAGCTTTCAAAAGTTCGGTCCAGGTATCCAGTATGCAGCGTAAGTGACATGTTCAAGTGTAAACAAGGAAATGGCGAACTGATTCAACGTGTTTTTTTTCTTAACTCTTTAACCTTCTCTTGATACCAGAAAAAAAACAAACATAATTTTTTAAATCGCTAACTGAGCAGAAATAACGCACCCTATCACCCTGCTGAGGTTTGACGGGAAGAATCTGGTCGAAATATGCCATTACCTCGCGATCTAACTCGAATGAATAAATACTGCAGCGACCCTCCTGAAACTCCATGGTCCATTAATTTATGAAAGAAAAACTAAGAAAAGAGAATAGTAAGAAAAAACAAAACGAATAGCTACTTACCACAGTGTCGACATTTTTAATAGTTCCCTCTTGGCCTTTGAGCTCATCATCATCATAATTGTCACGAAATCGCACCATCATGTCAACTGATACCCAGTCGCCTGAGTTCAATACGTGTTGGGCTGCAAAATCAGAAATGCAGAAATCTTTAAAATGATCAAAAATTTTGTTATATATTGTTTCTAATAAACAAGAATAAATACTTACGTATAGCACCAGAGCCTGCTGCAGTGGCACCTGTATTTGAACCTAAAATGATAATGGCTATTTGGAAAGTTGTTGATCACTTTTAACATGTGTTTTCCAAAGCATAAGTAAACTTACGACCATCCGAGAAAGGACTTGGAGCAGCGTAATCTGCATACATTCCTCCAGGTGTCATTGGTGCGTATGTCTGACCTGTAACTATGCGCACGTAGATTATTCACTATCAAAAATCTCCATAATATGAAGAAACAAATCTTACCAAGAGAAGAATCTGGATTGTAGCCAGGAGTATGAGGATTCATTGCGCCCGGAGTAGGTACATTGAAGGGTGATGAGGGTTCATCATAATGAATATCATCACTTATTGGATGTGCAGGTGTTGTTGATGGATCCCAAGCCGAAGAATGAACTGGAGTACGTCCACCATCATATGATGGCGTCAAAGCACCGTAATGCGGTGTACGTCCTAAATGGAAAACAATTCAAGTGCACTGCGCCCATTCACCATTCTATTTTTGGAGAATCATTCCTCAATTTCTTAGGACAAGACTTGCCACAAACATAATAGAACTCTTGCTGTGAGTTGTGTTACTACCAATTAAAAATGTCGACCAAAGTGTATGCAACATTCTGATTCGCACAATGCAAAATGATTAAGCCACTAACGATCTGCGCAGAACTCTAAAAGTAACACTTTGCTAATGTAACCTTCTTCGCTAAACGAATAAAAGATAATGTTCTCACCTCCTTCATGCATGGGTGTTTGAGAGCCATACATCGGTGTTTGGGCCCCGTACATTGGAGTTTTACCACCACCGCTATACATTGGTGTGCGACTGTCACCGGATGGTGTTCTACCAAGCAATCCGCCAATCAACGTGCCACCAGGAGTGCCGTCACCAACGATCATTATTCTTGATCGGTCAACACTGATTGTCTAAAAACATCCACGAAAAGTTAAACATTTCCTCACAATTCTCAATATAAAACCACTCGTTTTTTTTCTCCTCTCAAATTAATTATTCTCATGATCATAATTATGATCAGCCATGATTCTCACCAAAATACTATATCAACAATACGCTCTTACGAAACAACCGAGAATTATATGATGAAACAAACAACCTTGCAATTAGAATGAAGCTCAACGCGCGCAGTTTGTTCAGTAGCATCTTTGACAATACCAAAATATCCTTTCAAAGGTCCCTGCGTGATCCTCACACTTTTTCCAATTATTTGATTATCTCGCCGCACTCGATTCTGCGAATCGAAACCACCGGTACTTGGTACACCCACAGAGCTACCCTCTAAAACCTCATTTATTTTCTGTATAACACAATTTATAGACAAGTTTTCCTGAACAGTCTTCGTTACGACCCTGAAGCAAGATAAAAGGTAATAAAAACTGATGGAGTGTGGCTAGAGTGTAAAAGTAAGCCAAAAAAAATACAGAGAATTAGGAAGAAATTGTCAATTAGAAAAGAAACTGGAAATTCTACATGTGTGAGCACCGATGCAATAACACTGCCACCATGAAAACTTGCCATGCTGAGAAGGAGTTGCGCCGCCTCTAACACTTCTGCCGCTTGACATGTTACCAGGTCGAGGTGTTTGTCCTCCCAACTCAATATGTCGAGGACTGGAGAATGGATCAGGTGTTGCCAATCCTTTCACAATGAAATCCCCAACTGTAAATTAAAGTGTAAATTAGAAGTGCGTTTCTAACAGTTAAAGACAAAGGAGTGCTAAATTTGTAGACGAAAAATGAGTTTCAGACACTGAACAAAAATGTGCTTTTCTGCTTGATGGCGAGACTAATGCTTCCCGTATTCACCTCTGAATCAACAAAAAGCAAATGTTTTGACAATGAAATGAATAAGCTATAAATTTCCAATGCGAAGAAAATTTGAGTAGCAAATCTCTCAAGATTTTTCACAACGATCCTTCAAAATACGAGAATTATCAATTGTCTACATAGAATTATGTCATTTTCTAGCTTACTTTTCGTATTTGCCTTTGAACCAACCAAAAGCAAATGTCTTGGCTTGCAAACAAACAAGCCACCGTTTTCCATATGCTTTCTAGACATCACAAATGCATACGAACGATATATATGTTTGATTTCCCCCTGTTTCTCATCTTCCGCATCACCACGGCTCTGAAAAAGATAAAAATTAATTTCTGATTTTATTGATCTGCAATTCATAGGCTATACTAGCGGAGTCCTCTGGCTAATAAAGCTGAGTAACGGTGTAGAGACCTCATTCAAATTTTAATGTATTATTCAATGTTAAAAAAATTAGAGAGGAGCTACAATCAAGAATTTGATTTCTTTTTTCCTAATAATTCCTAATCCAGAAATCCAGTACAAATGGGTTAGTAAGTTAGATTTGTTTGGAAACAATGAATTTACGCTTGTTACAACAAAAACAAAGGGGACGAGCACATATCACACAAAACTAGCCAACTTATTATTCTTATAAGTCAGACTGAGAGAAAAACAATTTCTTTTGCAACAACTGGAAATAAATTCATCGTTTCCAAATCTAATTTAGCAGGAGAATGTCATAGTAAGTAGCAATTCTAAATAGTTTCAAATAAAACCTACTGCATACGGACCGTCTACAACTTTAACTGTATCCTTCACTTGAATGCTGTTCTGTTGACTATCAAGTGCCTGTGCAAAGCGCGTATCTTTTTTACCGTGAATTGCTTGTGGCTTTACTCGTACGACCTGTAATTCAAACAGAAATATAATGACGAATAATATAAAAATGCATATGTGAAAAACAGGAATTGGTGAGAGACGCGTTACCTTTCCATGCATATTCAAAACTTCTAAATATTCTCTCTCTAAGCGAACGATAACGCCAGCTGTCTGTTGATCCAACATTACAAGGTCCTGATACTGGAACTGTCCCAACGAGTCCACACCTGTAGTCACATCAGCACAAAGTTGAACATCACGCGGTAATACTTTCAGCTGAAAATTTACAAATGTAACAGAAAATTAAAGATAACGTTGCTTGTAAAAAATTTGAAATGCTTAAATACTAATCCATTGTGCTTCTCTCTAAATAAGACTAATTGCAAAATAATGTCTAGACGAGTCTTCAAGATGCTTGCACTGTGATTTCTATCCCAAAAATACATCCCAACTAAGACAGCGAATCAGTAGAGATAGTCCATTGCAACTCATGCAGTGAAATAATATTATCAATACAGTTAAATAATATTATTGACATTATAGGTACTCCCAGATACAGAGAAATGAACGGAGATTTTTGGAAAAATAATAAATTTAGATTTTTGTAAATAAAAAAACATCTATAGAAAGTAAGCTAGATGCTATTTATGGGGAAATTAATGCAAGATTAAGTTTGCTTCCAAGAAAATGCAACAGTATTTGTTTTCTTTCATCGTTTACCTCGTGCATGGTCAGATCCGATAATAAAATGACAAGATTATCTTCCACACGCACGATCAAACCGGTATCTCCTTCATATCGACCATTGATCACTTTTACATGATCACCTGTTTTGAAGAATTTCCTCAATTCACAAGCGTTTAACGTCAATGGTTCCTGTAAAACAGTTCACTGTTTCGGAAAAAATGACTTTAAATAGTCTAAACTCAACTAACATCAAATTTTACATAATGTGCAGAATTCCTCTCTGCAAAATTTCGTTCCTTTGTTTCTGATCTATCCGAGTCACTTTCGTACCCCTTACATTTACTCATATGATCAAGTTTTTCGATTCGCATCATTTTTTCAGCTTCACTTGTCAAACAAGCAAATAAAGTTTGTAATGTTACTAGATATCCCTTTGTTTGTTCACTTTGCTGGATTGGAAAAAAAAAGAAAAAAAACCTTTAAATCTTCGTGGTCCGGTAACATAACAATTTTTTCGCCGTCAACATTCTGAACTCTGCCACGCAAGTTTACAAGTTCACCATCCATCACTTCGACGTAGTCTCCCGGTGAAAAGATATACGATAAATCTTTCACCTTCATTCCTTCTACTGCAAGAAATTAAGATTTTTTCCAGTTATATCAGTTGAATATGCCCAATTATTACTTTTTTTACCCCAGTTTTAAGGTAATAACCACATAGACACGGTGTATCATTTTTATGAAGCCCACCAAAATCAATAAACATATTTTTTCTGTGGTCAGAGTTGCGCATATGAGACTCTATAAATTAAAAAGCGAACATTCTTTTTTCAGGTCATCGCTTGTTTCTTGGAATTTTTCTAGTTCGCTCAATGAAGGTTTCACACCGTCAACCTGCTGAAAAAAAAAAAGTCGTTGAACCTTTTAGGTACCTCTCCTGCCTTATTAACTACTTTTATTAAAGAATCTATTTAGCAGGAAAATGAAAAAAAATTTTGGATCCCTTGCAGTATAACCGTAGATAAAGAAAACGTTAAGGAAAACTGGCATGATCAATATATCATCCGCTGACAAGCGGCAAATGATTTTAACAGAAGTCAAGGTACAGCGTATATGACAAAATGTGTTAACAAAAAGATATGATACTTACAATAATATTCAATGGGAACCATTTGTATAAAAATCCTCGACGATACTGATTTCCTTCAAATGTCATAAAGTCGCCATCTGTTGATACTTCACCCCCTATTTCTCTGAATCACCATATTTATTTTTCCGAAAATATAAGAAGTAAAAAAGATGTTTAAACACATAGTATGGAGTTATATGGTTAAAAAATTTTAAGCACTATGAATTTCTCCATGAGGTAAAATAACTATTGAGGATTAGTAAATGTCGCATAAGAAGTTTGCTTTTAACTGCTAGGACCGCTCGCTTTCCTCCCCATCTTATCACCCTCTAGATTGAATTAACTGAAATATGACTATGGGAGAGAAAAAGCTGTTATAGAAATTCCTCAGTTTTCGAATAATACAGCAATACATATTCAATAAACTTACTTAATTCTTTCAACATCAAACAAACGAGCTTGTGGTCTTCGCTTCATTTTTACAAAACGCGGTTCATCCTTTAAATGTAGTGGCATGTTACAACAATACAAGGGACTGATTTACGATATATATAATACATGTATATGACAGATGGACAAATATAGATATAGAAATGTATAAATAGATATTTCAAAATAGACAACTGACCGGTGCTCTGAGTGCTCCACGCATGCGAGTGTAATCAATGCGTGGTACCAACTTCAAATAAACCTTATTGTGTGCCACGTCTACCCAATCAACCTATTTTTAAAATATATGTTAAAAACAGGCAAAGTATATATTACAGATCGTTCGTACTCAAACATCTGTACATAAAACTTAACTGTTCGACAAATAATGACAATACTTCATCCTATTTCATTTAACTTCTTATAAAAGTTGAGAAAAGTAGAAACCTGAGCTAAATCATCGCGATACATGGTTCTTCTTAATCGAACATACATTCCATTTTTCAGTGATGGGATATCTTTGGCCACTTTCAAAGTGTCACACATTTCCTTGATTGGCACCATAGCTATTCGGAACTGATTTAGAGCTGATATTCCAGTAACTGCTGTCGCTACATGCGATTGTTTGAATGCTTCTATGTAAATCATTCCTTTCAGACCTTCTTTTACTACCACCGATTTGATTTGTAAAGACTGTAAGTAAAATTTCAGCTGACTTGAGTGTATCAGAAAAAGAAAAACATCTACTCATAGCAAAATAACAAAAGTTTACGTTATCAGTATTTTCGTAGGCGATGAATTTTCGCATGAGTTGTAGCGCAACCAGCTTCTCCTCACCTAGACGACATTTTACAATCCACAAATTTGGATCCTTATTTGTACTTGGAAGTAAAGAATGACGACTTATGTCATCTAGAGCAGCATCATCATCCATCACATTAGCATAAGAGGACTGATTTGCATATTTCTTCTTAAAATAATCTTCTATTTGGTCTTCGTTCATTCCACTGAAAAACTGCGCCAATGAATTATTATATAAAACTAATAAAAATTGTTATATCAGAGATTTAAAACAAAACTACGATATCAATCACCTGAATAGATCTCGACGACGTCCTTCACGATTCCTTTCATCTTGCTCCTTCATCATTCTTTCAGCTTCCTCTCTTTCTCTTGGATCAATCCCCATCTCATCGCCATCCTCTTCAAAACCATCCTCTTCCTCCTCGTCTTCATCTACTTCCACATCATCGAGAATAAACTGGTGTACTCCTGTGCGTCGCTAAAACTTACACTTCTTGCACTCTCGAAGTCTTGCAATCAGGGTCATAAAATCACAAAACAATCAGATAGATGTAATTACTTTCTTCCTCTTCCTAGACTTCTTACTATGACGGCCATCGCCATCGTCCTCATCATCATCATCATCATCATCTTCATCCTCATCGTCATATTCATCAAAATGCTGTAATTTGTTCAACACTTTGTTATATGAAAGATTTCTAATGACATCATTATTGAAACCATGAATTGACTTTACAAAAGTTTCGAAATTAGACCTTCCTTTTTCTTCCATTTTTGACGACATCATCATCGCTTTCTGGTGTCTCATCATCGCTCTTCTCCTGTAATAATAACAGCCAATTTGCGTCATATCCCAGTTGAATAGTGATTAAACACATTTGTTTAGTCATTAGTCATTTTTTAATTAATCTTAAACATATTTGTCTCTGACCCCAAACATATTCGCAATAACGAACATATTGTGCAAAATTTCAGTTGGTGTATAAAAATTCGATTTGAACGCAAAAATTTCCAGTATATTGGAAAACAATTCAAACAATAGTGGAACACAAAGTGAGGTTCTGCACCCTGTGGTTTTGAATTACGCTACTCATTCTTGAACGGACACGATACCAGTTGTAGCAACAACAACAACACTGTTTGCTCTAATAGTAAGCTCAATGAATTAAGGATCGCACAAAATGAGTGCTTAAAACAGAGGCTTCTCTTCACAGTCGACCTCTGACCTTAAACAAATGTGCAATAACATATTGTGGAAATTTCCCTTCTGGCTATATTTGCATCCGCAGCATCCTTTTAAAGGCTTCATATCATACTTACTTCATTCCTTGAATAAAATGAGATTACGAGGTGACAGATGCCCAGAAACAAAAAAAAAGATAGAATTAAGCACCTGGCTATCTGCGAAATCCTCCATTGCATCCTGGTCCCGCTGTTCGTCACCAGATTCTTCGCTATCGGACATTGGGAAAAACAACCGCCAATCTGAAATAATTAGACTAAACCTATAACAACATTTCCTGAAATCAGCAAACATCGAAAATGTATAATAACAATAATACGGCCTTTCGGAAGAATGAAAAACTCCCATAGAATAAAATCAAATATAATGTAATAAATTTATGAAATTTCATAACAGCATTATCACAATTCATGTTAGCATCAAATATGAACACATACATATCGTGAACTCTGCTATATAAATAAGAGCACCTACTAACTAAAGTACTACAACATTTACCTTATAAGGCCAAAAGGAATAGTTATTCCTTTCACTCCTACAACAATACAAATAATTTCATTATAACATAAGAATGACAAGTAATTTTAATGAAATGATAGGAAACTATACAGGAATCTATAATTATGAAGGCAAATCCTTTAAATGACAGTCGCATCTATTTTGATGACAGCTGCTGTAATAACGATCTCCTTATATATGATTTTATATCATCATTCTCGAAATAAATAGCTAGCTGTCTACGAACAAGAGAACGACTTTATGAAATCTGAAGTTTCCTTAACTTTGGAATGACAATCAAATCATTTGGAATGAAAATCTGCAATAAGTGTTGTTCCCCTACATAAAAATGATTGATCTAAGACTGAAAAAGAAAAGAGAAAAAACAAACAAATTAAATAGTTAATAACTACATAAGTGAGCAAGTTTCGGCAGCCGTTGATACATCATCCACTTTTGGTAAGCCAGTTTGAGGATCCGTAACCCAGCCAGGGGGAGCTTCGCCCACTAGTTCTTCGGGAGGATATCCATACGACTGTAATTCCAGCATTAATGTGGTGATAGTATCAAACCGCCGTTTCATTTCTTCTAAATCTCCGCTTTCATTCTTCTCATATTCCAAACATACACGTTCTATTACATCCATTTGCTTCTCATAACGAGCCTTCGTTTCCGCATCTAACTCACTATGTTCTGCTATATAGCTGAAAATGCTAGCTCATAAAGACAAAGCATTTCTTCGAGTAATGCAATGCATTTGAAATTATTTTTAACAGAAAAGCAAAAATAAATTCATTCACCACTCATATCACTATTCACCTTATTTAGGGAAGGAAAGTTAAAACTTCACTCCCCACATAATGGAATTATCAGCGATTTCAACCGTTTAATATCTTAATACAATAACTCACACAGTACTTGAATAAGTAAAACAGACGTTCATTTCGTTGAATAAGGCTTCTATTATCAACGATTAGCTATTCAATGAAAACATTCATTAAAGACAGATAATCATCTGTCAGACGGAATGTTAAACATACTTGGGAAACCTCTCCAGCAGCTGCTTCAGTGGCGGATACATCAAATCTTTTGAAAAGAATGCTTGAACAAGATTTATTAGCGTTTTATATTGCGACTCGTCCGCTATATTAGCTGGATCCTGTTCTGATAATTTCTATAAATAACAGGTTTTATCTTGATAGGTTCAATTCACAAAATTACCTCAGCGAAATTTTCAAAATATCTTTCAAAAACTTGCCGGCAAAATCCTCGGTCGAAAGTTGCATTCCGCTGCACTCGGAAAAATACTTCTATAATTCTAAATAATGTAAATTTCTTGAGAGCAAACATACAAAAAAAAACTCGCTTTCAATTCCTCGATAAAAGCTCCAGCACTAGCCCGATTATAACCATGCTGGTCATCTTCATTTGGTGGATGCTCGTTAAGTGCTTTTTGTTCAGCTTCAACCAATGTTTTAAGCATATTTTGAAAATTCTCAGCAGCTTTGCGCTCGTCGACGGTCATTTGCATTGTTTCAGGTGAACTAACATTCTATAATTGTTACATAACACAAATCTCTTCAACTATAATATGCTACAAACACATCATGCATTCCCAAAGTTATGGAAATTATAAATACAAGTGGATATGACTGGATAAAAGCTTATCATCCCAAGGTAAATTTACACAAATTTCCAAGAATTCGATATTGCAACTTATTAAAATATTGCAAAACTGGGTAAAAGAAATGAAAAATACAGAAAAATACTCTTATTCCTCTTTATTCCGTTACCATTTTCCTCATCAAAAGGAAGTATGGGAGTTATGGAAACAGAGTTGTTAATAGTAGCACTAAAATCTATGATTCCGAGACACATCATAAGCCAGGAAAACATGAAACAATACCGGATGACTGCTGGATCCTTGCAATGTTTTCATCACGTCATCAAATTTCTGAACTGCTTTTTGCACAGCTTGCTGATCCATTGTATCCATCATTGAATCCAATTCATCGTCTGTGTTACGGGTACGACCAAAATCTGCCAAAGCACTATCCAGCAACGCCGACAAATCACTCTCCGTTTCATTTTCAAATGCTTCTGCCATTTTCTTGCTAATTATATTCCAAATTCAGTTTAAAATTCAACACAACTAGCATAGCCTTCTTCGACAACCCTAATATCATCAAGTGAATAAAATCGAGCAAAAGTAAGAAATATTGAAAACGATACAGAAAATAGGAAATTAGGCAAACACGATTTATACAAGAGAAATTGGAAAGAGATTTGATCGAATTAGTACTATGTCAGCAAATTCGAAACCAAACCACCAATAATCAAATGGAGCTATTTTTAAGGTATGAGCGTCTTTGCAAACATTACAGTTCTAGATTGCACAATGAATACTGTAGCCACGACATAGTGTAGTGGACGAAGATAAAACAGAGATTGATAAGAACTAACAGATGGAGTTAAGAAATATAATGATACCACTTTCGCGATTCAAATAGCACCACACATGAAACTGGTAATTTGGATTAACGAGAGTGGAAAAACATACGATTATATCACTCCAAAATATCATCTGAGACGCTACGTGAAATAATGAATGAATCATTATGAAAGAAAACAGAACCAATGAGTAAACACCGATAAGTTGACGAATTAAGAAGATTCATGTGTTGGTTAAGACGTAATATACACGTCACATATCACGTAATAATGTTGCTCTTCTGCGCTGTATTCCCTTAACAAATATTTCGTATACGAAAATGTGTGAAGCAAAACAAGGCAAAGCAAAAAAAAATTAAATCAGTTCTTTGAGCAAATCAAGTCAAAGTAACACATCGCAGAGTCACAATGCATGTTTTGATTTCATCGCCCATGCTTCTACTTTGTTTTAATTGTCCACCTTAAAGGACAGTTAATGTCTGAATAAATATAAGATAAATATCAGTGAATTCGAGATATCTCCCCGTCCATAATCGGAGTGTTGGGGTGAATACGTGCGCAATCGGAATGAATGCGTACTATTGGAATGGATGAGTACGTGATGTTGGGAGGGATACGTGCGAACGTGAAGAATGCATGCCATAGGTGTGGATGTGTGTCATGGAATCTGCACGGTTTTTGGAAAGAGATTTTTTTTGCTTATTTTATGTGTTCATTTTTTGCTGAGTTTTATCACAGTCCGTTCCTGATGGATTAATGTAAATTTCGGTTTTGATCGACCAACACCATTGTTAAGTACAGTGTCACATAGAATAGCCATTATGCTGATAATTATAGCATTACTCGACCGAGGGACGATTTGGGTTAGATCGATTCAGTTGAGTACCATGTACCATTACAACCATTATTTCCTTGACCATTTTATGAATGTTTCGATTAATAATGATTATAGGAGGGGATTTTTGGGATGTACTCGCTTTAGTGTATCGTCAGTTGAATATCTGATATAGGTGACTTTAAAATTATCCGATGGATAAAACTTTCAGCTGGAACATTTGTGTTTCAGTTGTTGTTTGGGAAGATTGGGCTTTTAAAGAGTTATCGTTTTCCGCTGATCGTCAAAGGTGGATTATTATTAATATGGCTATTCAGCCTCACAGCAAGATCAGGGTTGCATACTATTATGACGGTTGGTATTTTATTGTTCTCAAAACTTATTTACGCTTATTATCACTATTTCATGCGTCAAGTGGTCATAGTAGCCATTAACTCTGTTAACATTGCGATATATTGGTGTAATCTATTGTTTTTATTGAGCGGGAGAGGAGGAAAAACTACACATATGTATGCTTCAAATTATACACGTTTGGCAGAATGAAATGAAGTGTTGGGTAATGGAACAAACTTATAGCAAGTTGAATAATTATAAAAGCAAAAAAAAAAAATCATTTAAAGCTTCTTGTTTCCCTTCCAGCAACAATGTTGAATAAATACACATGGTCATGATTTTTTGAAATTTAATAGAATTTATACACGTTTGGCAGAATGAAATGAAATCTCATGGATACGAGAATTATTTGGAATCTTGTACATTGTAGCACTAATATCTATTGCTGGAAAGGATGTCTTACTGCTTCCACTTGTAGAATCGTTTACATAGAACAAATAAACTTGTAGAATTTATAGGAGATGTTGGGAACTACTACTACGGTCCAGGGCATCCGATGAAGCCGCACAGAATTCGGATGACGCATAATCTTATTCTCAATTATGGTCTTTATCGACGAATGGAAGTTTATGTTAGCTTTTATAATTGTTGTATTTGCTTGGATTATACTGTGAAAGTAATGCTATTTTTATTAAATACTTTGATCAGATTTATTAAATGTACTGGTCAGATTTTCTTGGGAAAAAATTTATGAAAGGCATAGGATTTGACGTAAGTAGCAAAAATACAAGGGTTTGTCATTTATTCATCTTCGATGAGGAAACAAAATATTTTCCTTCCGCAATAGCGTAAAAAATTTAGCAACTTTGTCCGAACATGTTACAGGGGAACATGAAAGTGGAGTATCTGTTCTGCAAGAAAAAATTTTATAAATGATATTCCTTCAATACTTCAGGAAATTTCAACTTAAACTTATTTATGTTGTTCACGGAACGAATTTTGAGTTGAGTGAAGTGTGAGGGGACATTTTTGCTCCTCTAAAATGAATTTTGAACTTTTATAGTAGATTGGTGACAAGGAGATATCTCCGGCTTTTCTACAATGCTGACTCGTTTTCGGGAAGAATATGCTTGAGTAATATTGCAGGGTTTGTAGATTTCTTTTTTGACATTCGTTTTTGTTTATATTTCAGAGACCGCATGTGGCAACGTTTGAGGAAATGACGAAATATCACAGTAACGATTACTTGACATTCTTAAAAAACGCACGACCAGAAGATATCATTGATAGCAGTACAGCTAAAACTCGTCAACGATGTTATTAACTATTTTTGAATTTTATGCACTATTGTAATTTCATTTTAAAAGCATGGATTACGATTTAAGCTATTTAATGTAAGTCCAAATCATAAAAGTAGTAGTTTATTCAGACGTGCCCACTGCAAATATTCCTTGATTACTTCGGGATTAAATGTTATGCAACAGCCTGTGATTCATTTGAACATTTCTCCCAGTTTTTTCTCGTATGTTAAAGCTCTCTAATTATGTCCAGTGGTTTATCTTAAATTCTTGCAGACAATGTTGGCGAAGATTGCCCTGTTTTTGATGGTGTATATGAATTTTGTCAGACTTCGTGTGGCGGTTCCCTTGGTGCGACTTATTTTTCTAAACGTCTATATGCTTTCCATGTTTTATTGTTATAAAGTAATTAAACTTATTTAATTGGATGGTTTCTTAGGAACTACGAATTCGAAGGCACGAATAGGGATAAATGACATTGCATGTTTGTTTATAATTTATGTTTCATTTAAGCCGCGGCAGCAAAACTTAACAAGAAGCAAGCTGATATAACGATAAATTGGATGGGCGGTTTACATCATGCCAAGAAAAGTGAAGCTTCTGGATTCTGCTACACTAATGATATTGTATTGGCAATTCTTGAACTTCTTAAGCATCATCAGGTTAGCTACTCTCAATTGCTTTAGTTGTAATGACATGGAGATTTAGAATTAGCGACGACTTGCATAATATACTCATAAATTGATAAGAATGAAAATCTTTACAATGATCGAAAAATGTCAGAGCATTGAGTTAATATGAAGCCAATATTATTTTTTCGTCATTAGCAGTGCCCATCATATATTGAGGTATTCAAAAATTTCAGAACACTAAATATTTCATGACATCTATCATGTCAACGGTGCTAAATGGCGTTATAGATGAAGTGAAATATTACCTTAGTTTCCATTTCATCCTATTAGGTTTCAACGATTACATACAAGTGAAATAAATTTAACCAATGCCATTTTAGCGTGTTTTATATGTCGATATTGATGTCCATCATGGTGATGGTGTCGAAGAAGCATTCTATACGACGGATCGTGTAATGACTGTTTCATTTCACAAATTTGGTGAATATTTCCCAGGTACTGGAGATGTTCAGGTAACGTCCAGTTTTTGATGGTGTTTCGATAGGTTTTTTTTCAGTCCCTTTTTTGTTGTTTTGAGTAATGATATTTTTCTCACTAATTATTATATTATGGACATCTTTGCATATTTATAAGCAACAACTCCATAAATATATTACTGTTATTATTTAAAGACGTTGAGTGACGACTGAGGTACAATTGCTTTAACATCTGATAAACTATTTGATGTTGCTTAATCAAAATATGTTAAGGATATCGGCTCAGGTCGAGGAAAATATTATGCTGTGAATTGCCCACTGCATGATGGTATTGATGATGATACGTACCAACGTATATTCAAACCAATTATGGAACAGGTTTTTTTATATATTAGGAAGTTTGCTTAGATCAGTACTTGTTTGGATAGATTTTGTAGACTTATATTTTTGACACACTATTCTGCAGTATTTTGGTATATTACTTGATACATAAGGTAATCATTACGTTTATTCTTTCTTCCATATTTAGGCGTCTGTGCTTCAGGTTTGCTTCATGCTTCAGGTTTCTGTTTAGGTAACACATCTCACCTGTCATTTTAGGTCATGCTGTTATATCAACCATCAGCTATTGTCTTACAGTGTGGCGCTGATTCATTAGTTGGTGATAGACTTGGATGTTTCAATCTTTCTCTAAAAGGTGATTTTCTAATCTCAGAATCATTAGTCTATGTTACGATTAGCTGTGTAGCATGCCCATTGCGCCCCAAAAATCTATGCTCTGTAAAAGTGCTTTACAATATCGGCAATTCGTTTTGTTCACCATTTCATTAACTAGAGAAATTGGGCTATTATTATTGTTGTAAGCGTTTATACATTCTTCGTTGTAGGACATGGTAAATGTGTAGAATTTATGAAGAAATTCAATCTTCCGCTTTTGTTACTTGGTGGTGGTGGTTACACCATTCGTAACGTTGCGCGCTGCTGGGCCTATGAGACATCCATTGCTCTGGATGTTGAAATATCAAATGGCAAGCTAATCGTTCTCTTATAAACTTCGATTTTTTAGGATTTCTTTTTATTTTTATAGGTTTTAGATTCCGAAAGGATGCAAGAGAAAGAATATGTTCTGCTCTCTTCGCATTGTTTCTTTGCTGTGCAATTTCCTGTTTCAGATTTCAAGTTCTTTATCTTTAGAATTGCCTTACAACGATTATTTTGAATACTATTCAAGCGATTTCAAGCTTCATATCGTTCCATCAAATATGACCAATTTAAACACACCCGATTATCTTCAAAAAGTGCAGTAAGTTTGGAATGAAAATTGCTACTGTTGTATTAACGCTCTGTCAATAGAGAAAATGATGGTATGAAAGTTTATGAAGAAGCTATTAGGGAGGTTTGGAAAACTCGGCTTTAAATGAGATTTCTGTAAATGAGTTGCAGAATATCAACAAATCTTTTAGTGTGGTATACTAAATAGATGTTTCCTTGCAGTTAATTTAGATTTATATTTGTAATTGTTGGTTTTAACAGTCAAAGATACATAAGCTACTTGAATTAAATTGTATCTATTGTAGGTCGACGATTTTTGAACATCTGCGCTACGTGCCACACGTTCCCAGTGTGCAAATGCAGCGTGAGTTGTATTATAACTATTTTGCATGATGACTTTTTTTTTCGCAGTGGTCGCATAGCCATGTTCGGATATGTATTTATCTTTATTTCAGCAATAAAAGATGAAGTCATCGAAACGGCTGTCGGCGAAACAATATCAAGAAGTCCATATAAGTGCTTTTCGAGTAAGTTATAATACCAGCGGTTGTTCGGTGTAAGAAAAAAAGATGGATGTTACTGACTCTTTAAAAGGTTAAAAATAAAAAGATGACAGTTTACAGTTATCTCATCTTGTACAAAAGCAGGCAATCTCGGTAGATAGCTTATTTTGTCATATTTTCGATTCAAAACTTTCCTTACTGATTTCAGTTCTAGAAAGCTGTGTAGAAGGTGATAACGAATTTTACGAAGAACACAGCATAAAACCAAGTCGGAATGAACGATCTCATGATCTTAACACTGAGGATTTATCTCCAGAAGCCAAACGAGTTCGGATCTCATCACCAAAGTCTCCAAAAAGTTCAAAGTCTCCTAAATCATTCTTAGGTTCAAAGTATTCGAGATCTCGTAAGTGCTCGGATCTGTGGTATTCTAGGTCCACATCAAGTCCACGATCTCTCGAATCTACTTCAGGCTCGAGACTTTCCAAATAATCATCCAAATAATCATCTTGAAAGCATTTTCGTTTCAACTTTCTTTTGAAATTTTGGCACAACAAGCGAAGTTCATTTAAGCTTTTTTTTTATTTGGAGAATGGGTCTAGTTTTTTATTATCAGCGAGTTTAGTCTGTTATGGGCCGTATTTTATACGCACTGAAATATGAAATGAGATTTTGCGGTGCAAATGAAAAAGCATTATGAAAATAAATACGTTAGTTTTAGCCTTAGCAAATCTTTGTACTGTTTATTTGGTGTATTGACTACGAGTTTAAAAACTTTAAGATGACGGTTTCAGTGCATTTATTGCCAACTGTTCCTCGAGTAGTTTGTTGTTTCTTTGAAGGATTCTTATAGCAGTACTAATTAAAACAGTTTTTCATTTCATTAACTCGCTCATTAACGCTCGAGTCTTCTGGAGAATGGCACAGTTCGACATTTGAAGTGTTGCTGCATTTTTGTCATTCCATTTTTACGTTTTCCTGTATTTACTGCACATTCCTCTTCTTTGCCTTTTTTGTGATGCAGAAGCAATATTAATTAGTACTTGTTTCTTCAGTACTTTTTTTATATTAACTGGTCTTGTGTCCTGGACAATATACATGCTTTAATAAGTTTTTCAATTTTACTTTCTAACAACTCATGGTTCTTGAAGTTGTAACTTATTAGATTTCAAAAACACCTATTTGATGAGCCCTTCCCATCAACTTGAGTTGTTCAATATCATTTTTCGATTTTCTATTTTTCTGTAATGTAGATGACCCTTGATTTTATTTATTCATTTGTTTATTCATGGAGTTTGGAATCAAAAAACGCATTTGAGTCCAACCGTTCAGGAATTGTATCTTTCTACTGAATTCAGTGGTCTTGGACTTTTTCACTTGCGAAAGAAGAAGGAAGAAATAATAGGGGGAAGCAATGTATTTAATCCCACTGCTGTATTGCTTCTCAGCTCAGTTTAAAGCGCTTTTCCACATTGCTTCCATCGGTTGAAGAAATTCAACTAATATAAACATCACTGCTGAGAGAGAGGTCAGTCAGTAAACAAAGGCTAATGGAGGAATTGAACTCCTAATAGTTTTTTATGAAGAAAACCACCAACCACTAAACATCTGGTAAGGGGTTGTGGGAATCCTGGGCAAGCGTAGACATATAAGATGCATACAAGCGCATGTTATTCAGTACCCAGATATACTCTTATACCAGATAACTGGACAGTAATCCCAAATAACAGGAACATGTGTTGTGAAGAGTTCGAGCGAGAGATCAAGAACTGACAGTTCAAGCTTCGAAAATGTATACTTTCAGAAAGGAAAGGTGTGATAAATGCCACATTAATTGCTAGAATTCCAAATTTTTGAACGAGCCTTTTGAACCTAGTCGATCAACTGATCGACTAGTAACCAGTAACCAAACATCTATACAACTGTATAGATGTTTGGTTACTGTATTTTAATGTTGTTTGCTATGAAAGGGAGAAGCAGAATTGATGAATTAATAACATACCGGCGGAAGTGGAGTACACCATTTTTGAAGCGATCCTAAATCATTAAGTGCCTCTCACTTTTTTTTTAAACTTTTTTTTTAATAACATTTTTCGACGAAGAAAAATCAATCACTATTGTATGATATAGGCTTGATTCTTTTAGAAATTTCCAACAAATTAGCTTCCAGAGCAAACGTTACTTGCACACTAATGTCAGCACCGTCCAGAATCAATCACTTATTTTAATGCCAAGTAGTCTAGCCTTTTGTGACAATTACAAAATCAAACAATTATTATCGATGGTGTGTTTGTTCATTAACATCGTTTAACATTATATGATATAGGTTCTTCTTTAAAACAAATTAATTAACAAAACACAATTGATCTGAGTGATTTTCACAACTTTCATTGATTTCCATTGATTCGAATCCTATCCCGAAAAGATTCCCGTTCACAATAAATACGTTTTTCTGAGCTATTTTAGCATTCCCGAAAATTCACATTATTATTGCTGAAAGAGGAAGGAAAGGGCCAAAGATACTTTCAGGTAAGGGATGGAAGTAATAATTATTTGACTGTTAGCTCGAGCTGTATCATTTTTGGCCTATACCAGTGTTTAAACTATTCTACAATTATCACAAATGTTAAGATGAAAAAAACGGAAAAGTTATCGATAACAACATATGGTCTTTAAGTAAATGAAAGTTTATTTTATAATTGCGAAATACTTCTTCACAAATGAAACATCCCAGTGAAATATCATTGATTGCATTCGTACCTATTTTAAGTTGACTTTATTAATCTTTTATTGTTTACTTGAACTCTCTTTACATCTAAAAATGATTGTTTATTTTTTATTCCATTTCATCTACAATTTAATCCACTTTAATTAATTAAATCTTCAGATACTATACTGCAACAGTTGAAGGAAACAGGAAAAAGATGAACCCCTAATAGACTGATTATTCAGCATGCTAAATAGAGCAAAAGTTGTCGTAGAGGTCATGGCATGGAAATATTGGTCCAAAGTGCCTTAATTCTGTAGATAGTTTTCCGTCAATTTTGATTGTTAATAAAGAGATAATCCATTATACTTTAACCGCATTAACTGGTCGCAAAATATGTGCTAAAGTGATGGTACATGTGACAAATCAGTTTTATCGCTGTTACAACATCTTATTTTCTTCTACACTAATCTTTAATTATATCCATTCTTTGACTTTTCAATTTTTCCCTTACCTTTGACCTCGTAGTTCATTTGATGGGATTGAAACAATTTTAATTTATTTTCTTGATTGCATTCATTCAATTTTCAACATCTATTAGTTGGTTTGCAACAAACGCAAATTTTCATCACAATTATTACTTGTATTCCAATTTTTATCATTGACAAGAGAGCTATGTTATCTCGATGACACAATCCTTACCATATTCAAATCCAAATATATTAGGTAAAAGAAGTGTCTAATTAAATAAATAGCATGTTAAACACAGCAGAATAGCTTTCAAAGGAGATTAGACTTGAGCATTATTTGCTACCGTAACTCTAGCGGTTAGGATACGCTTATTGTTAAAGATATATTTATGTGTTCATTCTGTAATCCTTAAACACTGTTTATTATGTTATGAAAGTCTCAATTTGATCAAAAATTTGCAAAACTGTAAGAAGTACATCTTCTAGAAGATAATTTGTAGCCACTAAAACCATACCTGAACTTCAAATGACATTCACTCAGGTGTAATTGCTTGTAATATTTATGACTTCAACTTTTTTTTGCTTATCTTAATGTCACCTATTTCGTAGAACCATAGTTGAATTTAATCAATTTTGCAATCAACACTCATAAATTTGTATTTCCAAATGAGCACAAAACATTTTTCCGATTAAAATATCGTTTTAGTTACCCGAGCGAAATCATTTGTAAATTCTCTATTAAAGTGAAATAGGTTTAAAATAGTATATGAAAGTTATTCATGTCTCAAAGAACAAAGTTAGACTATTCGATTGGTCATTTTTCGATCTTTCCAAGCAGATTTTAGAGATTTGTCGAAGAGTTCATTGCGCGTGAATGTTGTGGACAGAGAAGAGGACATTCCCATAGAGGATTACTCAAGGGTCATTGACAACATAAGCATTTTTTTTCTCTTTTTTTTAATGTAAACAAAGAATTATTCTTTATTGTAGTGAAATCTGAAGATGAATGAAAGAAGATCGAGTTTTTACATTGAAATGATTTTTGTGATGAAATAATGAGAAAATTTGAAAAAAGAAAGATTGAATTTTACAATAGATAGAGTAAAAGTATAAAAGAGAAAGGGATGCAATGAAAAGTAAAAAATACTACTAAATTTATATTAAAATTTTTCGTATTCTAATTGCTTAATACAAACAAAAAGTTTCTTTTAATGATAAGAAAATATTCACAACAATAATAATAATAATGACAACAATAATAAAACTATAATAACAGTACTAAAAAGTAATAATATATATATATCCTAATAGTTCGTTAACTTGAGGAACAGCAATTGCAATGAAGTATTGAATTGCATATTTGGTTCCATAAACATACAACCCATAGATGTGACGTAACATACCATTCATTCATGCAACTTTGTTACCTTTATTGGATTGAATTGTATGTGCAAGCAATTCAGGAGATAAACCATAAAATAACAATTTAGTTCACGATATTAACAAATTACTTTTGGACAATAAATTTGCATATGTTTTGATAAGTAATCGTAGAATGTGAATATTTTGTTAAAAACCCATTGAATGACTAAAAATCACGAGAGTAAAACACGTTAAATGATATCTGTTATCAATAAATAATATTAAAATATAATCTGTAATTTGCATAGGAATTTTTTAACTTACTATAAATAAGATCGGATAAAAGTATCTCTCATTAATGACAACCTATATATAATGAGATAAATGAATATACCGTAATTCAAATATAATTTAACGTGTTTTACTCTCGTGATTTTCAGTGATTCAATGGGTTTTTAGCAAAATATTCACATTCTACGATTACTTATCAAAACATATGCAAATTTATTGTCCAAAAGTAATTTGTTAATATCGTGAACTAAATTGTTATTTTATGGTTTATCTCCTGAATTGCTTGCACATACAATTCAATCCAATAAAGGTAACAAAGTTGCATGAATGAATGGTATGTTACGTCACATCTATGGGTTGTATGTTTATGGAACCAAATATGCAATTCAATACTTCATTGCAATTGCTGTCCCTCAAGTTCACGAACTATTGGCACATTGTTTCGTACTATAGATTATTATCCCTCTATCCCTTAAATGATAAACTGTTTATGATTTCCCGTGGCGTAAGGATGCTACATTTAAGGGAATGGGACAGAATGAGTAGGAGAAAGAAATTAGGATTAAAAGGGGATCAACAGCAAACTTTACCACTATAAGTAAAAGAAGGGAATAATTTATATCTATCTTTTGGATCCTTTCAAACAACAATTTTTCAATCATAGAAAAATCAATGATAGTTAAGATGATAAAAACAAAAGAAGAAGGAAATATTATGTAAATACAAATACTATGTAAAAATATTTTTGAAAAAATATCATATAAATAATCGATATATTGAAGAAGACAAATGTAAACAATGAAATAATATTTGCTGTTTGATAGAAAGTTTTGAAATTGCGAAATATTTGTAATGACTTAATTAGGGAAGGAAAAATGATATAAATTGTCAACGATAGATTGACCAGTAAAGGACGAAATTTGAGGTAGATTATTAGGAATTAGTGCTGAAGAAGTTGAACTATTAGGAATTACTGTCGGCGACGTTCCATCATTATGAATTACTACTGGCGACGTCGCATTATTTTGAATTAATATCGGCGATGACTTATTATTCTGAACTATTGTCGGCGCTGTTCCGTTATTATTATGAAATACTGTTGGAGACGTTGAATAAGATCGTACTACTGATGAGAAATGATTCTGCGGCGGTGTTTCCTGCAATGCGTAACGTTCTGGTACGGTCTGTCGACAAATATCTTCGGTTCGAACACCACGTCGCAATTCCTTCTCTGCTAAATCTAAAATCCCCTTCTTCATATTCAAGGAAATCTGTATATCATTATTAATGGCTAATGGCTAATATCAGTGTAATCATTAGTGATCGAAATGATGAATGCTGTTGCATTATCAGTTTGGGATTACTTCATTTCTAGGATGAATAGAAATTTGTGGGTCAATATACTTACCACTTTTAAGGCTTCTTATCCTTTCATCCCAATATTTCTAAAGTATTAACTTCAGAAAGTTCGAAATATAGCGAAAGGATAAAAGGAGATAATTTAGCGGCAATTAATTAATTATATGTAAAATTGCATCGAAGACGGCTCATTAAATCATGCGACAAGAGGCATCAGTTGTTACAGGTATATGCTATGGTCTATTAATGTATGATAGTCGTCGTGTCATACGACAGGTTATGGGTAATAGTATTAGCAGCAAAATTTCAACTAAATAAATGAAGAAATGCTCATGTTTGAAGAATATTTTGTCCTGCAAGAGACGTACCTTTTTATTTTTATCTGAGGTAAATATTTCAGCGATCAATTTTAAGATCATCATAATGATTCTTATTATCCATCTAAGATAAAAGTTGATTTGTTGAAGAATGTGACAGTCCATAGACTGCTAAATCAATGGTTATTGTTATAATAAGTAACTTGAAGCTGACATATGATATGAGGAAATTTCAATTCAAATTTGATTTTTCGATATGGCAAAGGATTAGAGCAAGTGAAGATAAAAGAGACATTTTAAGAAAAGTTCAAAAAGCATTATTGAGAAAAGAACATAAAAACAAATTGAATAAAACTAGAACAAATATATCCTATCATATTCATCAATCATTTTTCAATGGATGTGACAACAAATATGTCAAATGAAATGGATGGATAAGATTAAAGAGAGAAAGAGAGAGAAAGAGGGAGAGAGAGAGAGAGAAACTTTAGAGTGAAGTAATATTTCATCGTTGATACTTACCTTTGTAATTATTTCTTGCTTGTATTTCAGCCATTGCAATTGATGCAAAATCTTCCACTTCAAGTGGCCGTAACTCCTGCGATGATGAGGAACGAACCTAAAATAGAATACTTGAGAATTACAACAATGTCAGGTAATTTGATTGACAAGTATAATGATCCCCTATGATGAAATTCTTTGACTTGAATTCTTTCCTAGTTTCTCGTTTGATATTTTCTTCTTTGTCACCTTTCCTACAAAGATTTCCAGTAATTACTAATTAGTTGATTGCTTAGCAATTACTAAACAAACAAGTGCAAAAGAAAATTTCCAACTTCTGTATCGTTTATGCATGTAATTAAGTTGGGAATCATATTTGAAATGTAATTTTTTACCAGAATTACCAAATATTTAAAAGTTTGACGAAAATTTACATTATATATCATGAAATCGAGGATCTAACATACCCGAACAGAACCATCTACCACTGCTTCTAAATGTTTAATATAAAGCATAGCAAGTCGTAAAGTTTTAATCTTGGCTAATTTTTGATCATGAGGTATATGTGGGACACAACGTTGTAATCGAGCATATGCAAGGTTCATCTCCTCATTTCGTCGCCGTTCCTAGACATAAGATTATTTCATCAAAAAATATTCTATTTCTTTTTCATCTTTCATAGATGTATTATTTATCTCAGAGATTACTAAATTTATTTTGAATCAACAACTACAGACCTTTCGATTCGATTGATTTCTTTTCTTCATACTTAAATTCTGTGATGACACTTCACCTTTCATTTTATTTCCCATCTTTTTATTTTGTTCACTTCTAATTCCCCTTCAAAATATTTCATTTCATAAATTGACAATTATAATTAATTAGAGAAAATACCAATATTTTAAAGGATACTGGTAGAATAACTTGAAATTTTTTTTAAAAAAAAGGATCTAAAATATCTTCTGAAAAATATTAACGCTTAAATTAATATTATTAATTGATTGAATAATCTAAAATTCGTCATCTTTTGTACAAACTAACATTAATAATGGGAGGAAATATTAATCTTAAATTAACATTGTTTTTGGTAATGCTAAGAATTTGAAGAATTGATGAAAGAAAATATTAATAATTAAATTAATATTAGTAACTGATAGAATGCCTAAAAATTTATATTTATATTTCTCTTCTCTTTATTTTACATTGTCCGATGTAATGAAAATTAATGATTTAAGTGATTTGAATTTGAGGAATTTATTTCCAGTAAAATATATTTCAAGTCAAATTATCAGAAATGAAATACTTACCATTGGGAAGCCGATGATATTACTGAATTAGATATGAAACCAACCTTCAGAGAGAGAATTTTTCGATTAGCTAAATGATGATCCAAGGGCGTGGTTATGTCACCCTCGTATCGATGATAGTTTCTAGCATTGATCTCTGGAAGACTTTTGTTTTTTTTTTTTTTTTTTTTCAGTTGACCTCTTTTTCTTTCTTTTACCGTCCTGTCTCTTCCTTAATCCCTTCCTTCCTAGTTTTAAATCATTCCGACACATTTATGATCACATGATTAGCAAGAACAATTCGAAAAATGAAAAAGTTTTGAAATATTTTAACAATTCAATTCATTCACACTAATATTTACTTAAATAATTACATTAATTAAAACAGTCAAGTGATTTGTTCTAAATTATATAATTTCCCTTTATGTTATTTTGAACTTCTAATAATATCAAGTCCGGAAATCAATTATTATCGAATTTGGAATAACGGAAAATGGGTAAACTGCTTGAATAAAAATCTTGGTCAACCAAAAATATACGCAATGGTTGGACATGTAATAAAATGAAATAATATATTACCTATGGATATCAAAAAGTGACCAGAGAATATGATGTTGTTTATGCAGTACTTATTACAGTATATATATTGTAAAATAGAAGGCGGCCGGTGCTTTTGAAGAATGTGAGAAGAGTAATTTGTTGTCACCTCACGTCACTTACCTTTTCCAAAAGAAACAGCTTATGCATCTCGCAATATAACGCAACTCCTCACTTCTTTCATTTCCTTCACTCATATTATCATCCACAATTTCTACGTAATTACTTAATTTGCCGGCTTTATACAGCTTCTAGTTTACCGAAACTCTCGTCTAAACTCTTTCAGGTCACTTTGATCACTATTAAGGTCATTTCGGTCACTGTTAAATATGCTTTAAAAAAAATGGCAATATTTTGAAATAATATGAATTAAGTGTACAAAATTTAATGAATAAAGCAATAAAACAAATGCGCCAGGCGGATTTTCCTAAACCAGATTTTAAGTGGAATAGATGAATGATTCACCTCGAACGCTTCTTTAATTCTGATGTTACTGATAAAAGATCTTTTTACATATAAGATGTATTCTTACCGTTCCCTTTTATATGACAGAATTTCTTATCACTGCCATTATCAGTGGAAAGAGATAATATCATAATCAGTTCAATGGAAGAAGTATCCAATGAAGCACTCACTCAATCAAATGAAGTGGATGAAATATCAGAGAAGCGTTATTCCACTCTCCACAGCTTATTGTCTTTAATCGCCAGGAATACTCTTCGGATACGGTATCACAGATAACTTGCTCGTCTTCTTCCTTTAATCCATTCATTGCTATTTTTCCAACTTTTCACAAATTACTGGCACTAGCCCAAGGGTTATTTCTCATTAGTTATCAATTGTGACATTTCGACCAGAAAGGACGAATGTCAAATATTGGCTTTCTAATATGATTCTCTTTAAACACTTAAGTGATAAAATGGTATCATAAAAATACCGACGTGGTACCGTGATTCGTGCAAAACCTCAATACATGGGATCCGTGTAAACAAACGATATACGTGATTCGTATAAATTTGGCATTAATTATTTCTATAAACTTTTCTGTTATTATTTTCTTTTATAAACCAAAATTGATAATTATTATTGTGAACTTCAGTAATAATGATTGATCTTTGTAGACTCTAATATGTGAAGGATTCCTGTGTGGTAATATCAGGTGTGAACTATGACAATGTATGATAAATGATAAAATATTTTGATATATCAATTTATAACCAATCAAGTATCATCTTAAAATCTGAAATAAGTTTTGGGTGGAGTCATAAAAACATATTTCCATTATATGTCTTTCGATCGTGTCAATTGAACTAGTTTGTTATAACTTTATATAAAAGTAAATACTTATTCATACTTTCAATTGTCAGCAGCTGACCATTTTAACTCACCTCCTCATATGTTTACAGTGACCCTACTCTTTTTCAGCATCCTTTACATTGTCATCCCACAAGGTTATACCGATTTTGTATCATTTACTTCAAAAATAATTTATGTTGATAATGGTAGGATTAGCTATTATATTATAGAGACTTACCAATCGTTACAGTAATATTACCATTGTTATTTCTCTAATCTAGCGTCAGTAGTTCTATTTTTTAATTTCGTCATCTTTCGCATCACCATGATCTCAGACACTTTCATTTCCTTTATTTTACATTTTGAGTGTGTGAACTTAAAAAGATAATTTTCAAGGAAGACATCTCTAATAGGAGCGAATATATTATAAAATAAGTTCAGAAGATCAGAAATATGACGGAAATCCGCCAAGAAATAATACGAAATAATTCAGGATGCCCGTTAGTATGCTACATGTGCGATAGCATCGGCGAGATTAATTGTTTCGGCTCAACATGTATCGGTACCGCATGCATTAAACGTTCTGCTCTTATCGATGGTAAGTATTAGAAACCTGGTATGATATGCCTAAGTGAAACTTTCAAATCCGAACAAAATGTTAACCATCAAACTAAAAACAAAGTTTAGATCTAACTTCCTATCACACATTTAATTCTAAAGCGATTTTGACATATCCTTGGTGACTAGTTTTAGAATTAAAATTTTTCAAATAAAATTATTTTCAAACATTCTCAAGATAACCACAGCATTTTTCGTGTCATACAACTTAAGAAATTGTAACACTACACTCACTGCTTCACACTGAATACGGAACGTCTTAGTCATTTGCAGTTACGCAGACTTAACAGTGAGTTTTGCAGCAACACACAAATCAACAATATTTATTAATAAAAAGCATAAAAACGGCTAAAGTTCTTTAAGGAATTCTACGAGTGCAAAAAATGTGCCAACAAACGAGTGAACCATTGCTGGAGTACTGTGAAACCAGCGTTCTCTGGAAAGGAGGTACAGGTGCCGAATGCATCTGTCAAACTGATTACTGCAATAACACCGGAAAAATATTTCAAAACATAATTTTGACTTTCCTTCCTTTTATTATCGCTTCTTTTGTCAATTTTAAGTGATCATTTTTGGATAAATCAGAAATTATTTGTTGATTGGAGTCAAAAAATCGACAGAACAACCTCAAAGACAAGACTGCTCTAATCAAAGATTCTTCGCAAAGAGGAAAAGACAAACTGATGGAAACTAATCCGTAACCAAACAATACCTGACACATCATATTTCCGTGTAAATATTAGTATCAGATACGACAGAAAAATATCAACGAAGCAATACTTCACCAAAAAGGAAAAACGCTGTATCACTATACTTTAATTTCATTTAAAACTGAAAGTTGAAGGCTTGTTCAGAAGACAAATTTCCAAAGGCAACTTTAGGTAGTACTACTAAAAAGACCGTTATCTTTGCTTCGTCCATTGACATCCATTGTAAACGGAATAGGAGTTACGACGACTTCACCAAAAATTTCAACATCTCGATTATCTATCAATTTCCCAGTATTCATTTCCGATACTTGAATGAGCATATCTAACATCCCACGTAACTAAAAAGAGGACCAAGTATGTATCAGCATCAGGTGTAACATATAACTGCTTCATAAGGACCATTAAAAGTAGCTTCCGAATATTGAATAGAAGCGCTAATTGTTTACCTCAGATAACTTATTACGAATTTCAATTTCTCGTTGAACTGCGCGATGAAGTTTAGAAAACATTTTAGCAATTCTTCGTTCGACATTCTCATTCCCATAAATGTCTGAAAAAGATATGTAAAGCACAAATTATTACGTGATTAACGTGATTAAATATCTGACAATATATGCTTCATTGAAGGAACTCCAGATCTCTGATCACACTTATTTAGGCCAAAATAATAACTTAATTTCTTCCCCGACCAATTTTCCTTGCGTCATGCTCGATAGATTTTTTTTTTTTGTTTTTTTTGGGGGAAAAAAATAAACAGAATGGAGGTGCCGATAAAGCGGTAATAATTAATCTTCGCAATTTGGAAAGCTTTGATGAAACAAAAAAAAAGAAAACTAACCACACATAATGGTCATTGTCTTGAGTAATATATGCAGATATTCGGGCCGAAAGAAATTCTGCATTAAAAAACAAGTATTGGATGGATAGTATCTGAGTTACGCCCTGACAGTGCCACTGTTAATGCTCCGCGTTTGTAAATCTGAAAAAAACGAAATATAAATATGTCATAATTTTCAGATCACAATTATTTCTAGTACCTTAATGAACCTAAGATTAATCAGCCATGATCCTGGAATCTCAGTGATTGATGTTAACAGTGTACCGTCACAAAAACAAAGGAAAAATTTTCTTATGGAAGAAGCTCGCTGTAAATTAAGATATTTGGTAAAACAGAAATGAATAACGGCAAAAGAGTAAAATGCAACCTGCATTAATGCTCCGACAATAATATCAGGACGTGACTTATAATATTTTTCACGAAATAGAACATCGACTGCTTTCCAGTGCTTAAATCGTCGCAACAACAAATCAACTTTACTCAATTTGGCCTAGAAGAGATATTTTTCAATACAAAAACTAAAATTAAACATAAATTAGCACAACTTTCACAAAGAAATAAAGGATAATCAAATAAATATTAAAAATAAACAAATCCTATCTTACAACTATATTTATTAACAAACAAAGCTGTAAAGAAGGAAAAAACCTGTGGAACGCGGGCAGCAGAAAACTCAGTCTTTTCTACAGTTCCACCTCGAAGGAGTTGGTATATCACAGGTGCATTTGTAGGCATTCTGAAATGAGGTATCTAGTAATAGCTGAAATACGACTTCGAGGATGAAATGTAAAATGTTTCCAGATTAACTGATAAAGTACATGTCTGTGTATTTTCAACGTATTAAAATTTCAAAATATGTGAAAACTTCTAAAATTCTGTAAGAGGTACTTTTTATGGTACTCAAGTCCTGCATTTTCAGCTCGCGCAGCTTCTAAAGACTCTTCCAACTTTCCTGGTTCATTCCGAATGGAAATTTGCAATAAATTACCCATACCTACAGCAATAAATTTGTCATTTGATGAAATCGACAATGTGAGTACCTGAAATAAATAACAAAATGAAATACAACAAAATGTCATGCAAAAATTTTAAACAGAAAACAGAAAAAAAAGCAGGACCACAAAGCACCAAATGAAACATTTGTAATAATATTGAAGGAAATATGCAAAGCGTCAAACCTAATAAGAACAATTATTTTGAATTGAAAATGACTGGTCACAAACTTCCTGACAAAATAGTTTGTAGAATTATAAGACGTACCTGAGCAGGCAAACTGAATGAGTGCACTAGCCTATAATCACCACTATCAAGGCTGAAAACATTCACCCTTTTATCGAGACCGCCCGAAAGAAGACGAGTACCTTTCGATGCAAGACAAAGTGAAGTAACCTGGAAGTTTTTTAAATGATAAAGCATCATGACGTAAATGAAATATTTAGCGCAAAATATTTGGAAACAAGAATGTATCCATTATTCAAAGATTTTTTTAGGAAGCAGAATTTATTTTTGAAAAGAGAATTCAGAACCAACTGAATTTATTTCAAATATAATATATCCCTACCGTTTTATGATGATGATGAAGAGTATGATGCAAAATACCACCGGAAGCAATATTCCAAATTTTAATGAATTGTCCGCCAGCCGTAACAATGAATGCATCACCGGGAAGAAGCAGAATTTGTTCAATTGGTGAGCCATGATCCACAGACATCAAGGCTTCATTCCCTTCTGCTTCAGCATTCCATATTTTCGCTGTATGGTCGTATGAACCTAAGAAATAGAATTTATGGATGTGTAATGAATTGCGCCATCCATTTTCCTAATTGTAGCAATGCTAAGAAGTCGAACTTCATCCTAGAAAATAAATTCAAATTTTAGATGGAAAATAATCAAGTCATGATAACTGAAAGAGCTGAACCTGTCTCGTTCTTTATCACATTAATAATGGTGAACTACAGTTTATAAATGAGAGAAAAAAAAAGAAAAGAGAAACAGAAATCATTACCGCTTACGAATAGATGATCAGAAAGAACGGAAGCATCGCTGCATCGAATATGATCCCTATGGACAGCACTGAACACTTTCAATGGAATAGACTTCGTCTCGGTAATATCCCACAATTTGATACAACCTTCATCACCCATTGTTATCAATGTTCGTCCAGATCTTGTGAAAACTACCTGAAATTTAAATGGAACACGAAGAAGCAGATCCAAGAGTGATATCAATGTGGAATAAAACTAATATGACCATGTAACAAGCTGCTGCAAACCACATACTGAAATTCGAGGAGTAAATTTTGTTTAAAAAGTATTTGTTTGCGGCAGTAAAGGAAAACTGTCAACGGACCGTATGGACTGCACTTTCGTGTGCTTTGAAAATTCTTAGTGGGGCTTTCCTTCCATCAGAAGTAGCTGTTTGTTTCCGCACATTAAACAAACGAACTTTGCCTTCTTCGTCACCAACTGCTAAAAACATTATAAATGAAAAATGTGACAAGTACCAACGGTTTCATTCACTCAATGTACAAATATTCTGAAGCTTGGAACTCGAAATTAGAAATGGATAAGAACAAATTAAGCTTGAACTCCTGAACTTAATAAAATTCCTGTCAGCTAAAGCACAGTATGATTTTTACAAATTGGAACAGTATCTTTCTATCTTCGTTTTATCCGCACAATAAAAACTTTTCTTTCAACTATTTTCCAAGCTTTTTTTGCATTACCAAAGAATTACAGACGCAAGAAATATACTCCTCAATACAAAATTTAGCATTCCATCTGTTCTTCACATTTTCACAATCTATTATTTTCTTTTCTATGTGATTATATCCTGTGACTATATCCTTTTTGTGAATTATTCATGTTATGATTCCTTTAAAACATAAACATACAATCACATTATTACACTTTTTAGAGAACAAGTGTGACTTCACGTCATTACGTTTTTAACATTACTAATGTCCCTTTACAACACTACTTTTAGTTTTCTCGATCAAGTACTCGAAAAAAAAATAGAAATTTCACTGCAATCCGTACGCTACATCTAACAATTTCTTAAAATGCTGTTAAAAAAAATTATTAAAATTAACCTTGAAAAAGAAAAAACATACCCAACAGTTTACCATCACGACGAAATCTTGCACCATAAACAGCTTGTTTGAAACGTCCGTATGTTGCCAGGGGTTCACAAATTGTTGCGTCATAAACTGCTAACTGAAAAGAGTTTCTTTCGTTTTATCCACCGTTGCTATTCGATTCGCAGATAACTGCCTTTAAAAGAGTTGCAAAAAAGCAGTATAAACGACGACAACAAACCTTGACAGAAGAAGTACTAGCGACCACATTACTATCTGTTGGAGAGAAAGATGTGCTGGAGATATTACCTGGCTCTTGAAAGACTGCCAAACGCTGAAATATTTCTTTAAAATCAACAACGAACATGTCCTGTACCCCACAGCTCACCAAATGTCTGTCAAAGTAGAATTCCAACAAGGTTAAAAGGAGCTCGCTAAAATCAGATAAACTAACCTCCATGCGCCGCCAGTACAATACATCCTTCGAAAAGCGTTTTTCCATTTTATCGCTCATTATTCGAGCTGCCGGCTTGTAAGGTTCCGCCATTCTGTTCTGCGATAACTCTTTCAAACGACTATAACAGCTTAAATCTTTGTTGTACTAAATGTTTCGTTACAATTATGTTGAAAATGCGTACATGAAGTATAGAGTTGCCCTCGACAGCGTACAACAATTACTGAACAGGAACGAAAATTTTCTAAACAAGGCATTTATTTCATTTTCAATTACAATGAAACATTAATCCATAGTTCATCACATATGTAAAATGTTGACTACAACATGAAATGTATTAATATCCTTCCAGTTGGAAAATGCTAATCTTGGAAAATCAAGAGGAGCGCAACAATGCCAAGGCTCTTTCTTCATCATCCAATAACTTCCTTTTTCTTCTTCGTAACGATTTCATTTCAACATTCTTATCACCATTACCACCGACTTCTCTCTAAACAAACAGGATAGTGGAAAAAATGAAATTCACGGAACCACAGTTTTACTAGTATTGAAGCACTAATAGTTTACTGGTACTACTACTTTTACTAATAGCTACAGTTTTACTATAACTATATTTAGTGAACTTTTTAATTCATATTTTTTGACAGAAATAAATCCAATAACTCTATGAAGGACAATTTATTACTATGTTAATTTAATATTGAATAAAGAACCTGTAAAGCACATACATTATAGTCATTTATGGGATTATCTTCAATCTCATTCCATTCTTCGTCATACTTCTTTGGTTTGTCAGGATCAGGCAACCACGATAAATCTGGTTCGCCATCTGAACCACTCCTTTCGGCTCCCAAATCCAATATTACTCCACCCTCCTTGCTTTGAGTTTTCTTCACTCTATCTTTTTGTTTCTCCTTCTTTTTCTGAATTACTTCAATATTAAACATTTAAAGGAAAAGAAAGAAATGCTGCATGATAGAAATTCAGAGTTTGACCTTCCGCGAATAATTTTATCCGGAGAATTTTTCATCTGAGAAAACAAGGAGTTACACAAAACGAATGTGTTATAAACTACTGAATTTCAGAATAAGGAGAAAGATGAAATAATTACCTTTCTCCACATCTTCTGCTTCTCTTTATATGTTATTTTATCAACCTGATCGATCTGTACCATTTGACGCTTTGCCTCATCTACATCAAGACCAATCAATTCACCATCATTTGGAACGGTATTAGGAAATATTCTGTTTTCCTTCAAAAAAAGTATAAGTTAAAAACAGCCAGCTCAACGAAAGTCGAAACTCGATCTAACGCTTATCAAATCCAAAAATGAATGTTTCAGTGTAAAGCATGTTTTATATTTTTCAAAATTTGGGGGGTAATAAAAATTATGCGAATAACTGCAACAAGTTTAAACTAAAACATACTTTTCACTTATATCTTGGAAAATATAAGCAAAAAGTTTTTTTAAATGAACAAATGTTAAAGCAAGACAAAATCATACCACGATTTCCATTCCGTCGTCTGTGAATACCTTTTTCACACCTAATTTCACTCCTTTTTTTAAAATTTTTCTAGCCAATGCATGGCGTGTCACAAGTTTCTTCGACTCCCTTTTCGGTTCCTCCAGCACCTCGGAGACCTAAATAAATACCTCGGAATTAGGGGCAAATGTACACACTCAAACTGACTGATATTTGTAAACAGCAATATTTTCGGTAATTTTTTATAAACGACAAAATATCGACAGCACCGAATTTTTGCAGTAAAAACCAAGTTGCCATCTATAAAATCCCATATAACCAACTTTGTTTGGAGATATATTGAACACGTTTTTCCGAGTTATTTTCAGAAAGTCGTCGCAATCTCCATCCAAGCCACTACCATTTGTGTTTAGACTGAAATCACTCTGACCTTTCTTAGCTTCATTATTTTCACTTGTACCTAATCCTAGATCGACTTCATCCTCTACAGCACCGCCTTCACCATCATTATCATTTTCATTTTCCTGAAATATAGTCCAGATAATTAATATAACAAGTTTAATAATCTAGTAAATATATATAAGAGAACCTTACCATCACAACCAATTTTTCCCCCGCCTTTGCCGCTGAAATCATCATTTCTACTAATTCTTCAGCACTTTTCTCTCCTTTTTGCTTTTGATTTGTGTTTGTGTGCAAGTTCTGATGCTTATTTGCAATTCGTTTCAGAAATCGAACTCGCGGTGTCGCAGCAAGCCCATAGGATCTATAAAGGAACGAGAAAAACAATTGAGGGATAAGACAAAACAAAACTGCTGAATAGCCAACGATTAATGAGCTTGCCATGTACAGCTGGCCTAAGTATTCTGCTTGTTCTCCGTCCAGATAAATTTTGAGACAACATATTTAAATACAAACTGGTTAGTAGATGTAATACCTTACCACCAGCTGAATTTGGCGAAAAAATATTTCGGATAACCAAATTTAAACTATGAGGAATATTATAAAATAGCATATGAATTTCTGAAAAACAACCAATTATCAGTACTTGGCCAATGCCGTCAGATCAATTGCGTCTAGACTGAAAACATCCTTGTTCCGCATCAAATAAATCGCCCGAATGTAAGCCACAAAACTCTGAAACAATTTAAAAACATGTCTTTTCGAGAAACAATAAAGTTGTCTCCAGATTCTGAACAAGCAAACCCTCTGAGCAAATTCCTTCATTCCCGGGTATTGTGCAATTACTGACTGTAAACGTCTGCTGATATCCATTATTTGCTTTTCACTGACACTGGAATAGTTTAAAACTTTCCAACTGATATATATTAGTACTGACTTGGCTTTATAGTAAAAAAAAAATTCTGTAATAAATCCAGCGTAAATTTCGATCATTGCCGTTACACCATAAGATTTTTTCAAAAATTTTTTCCAATTATTTGTTATTTTTTTTCAATTATTTACTCGAATTTACATGAATCAGCTTGTGAATTGTGAAACTGTGAAAAACAAACCTAAGTTTATTGATTAAAATGTTCTTTTCTTGTAGTCGTTTAAGCATAGCTTGTTCTTGCGCTGGTGTGAGAACCAAGAGTGCTTCACCTTTGGAATCCATCCGTGCTGTACGTCCTACTCTGAACGCAGCGGTCAATTAATTAAGCAAGAATAAATTAAACTTCATGCTGCACAGTGGTAGATAAAACGAATTTTAAAAGATATTCCACGGCATACGAGAATGAGAAAATTTCTAGATAGCTGAAAAAGAAGTGCAGACCAGAAAATAAATCCATTATTGATAATTAATTAGATAATTAACAATTAATTAGCATGCTCATAATTCTCTTTCCTGGAAGCAAAAACTGTCCAAAACTAAAAATTAACCTGTGAATATAATCATCAACATCTACAGGACAGTCCAGCTGTAGTACAATGTCAACGCGAGCAAAATCCAGTCCACGACTAGCAACATCTGTAGCAATCAGTGCAACTCCAGCTGTTTTATTATTAAATTTTTTGAAAACTTCTAGCCGTTTCATTTGATTCATCGTACCCCACAATCCCATTAGTGAAAAGCCTGGTCGTAGATGGCAAAACGCTTCAGCTAAAAACCGCGCCTAAACACATCATCCCGTAACCACGTAGCAAATAATGACCTACAAATTAAGTAAATTGGATGAAGGATTAAAAGCAACCTGCTTGCAGCATGAAACAAATATTAATGTTTTCTTCTTTCGATGATTTAATAAAAACGACCATAGTATATTGATTTTATCTTCATCACTGCATACAAAATAACTCTGCAAAATCACTCTTCATTTTTAACAAATAACTGCTACCACTTAGTTCAAACTTCATTCCTGACAATTTCTGTAATTCTCCAACTCCAAACCCATGCTTTACTCCTACACTATAAATCAACATTCAGTCTTTGTTCATAGAATATATGGAGTAGCATGCGTAGATTACTATGTTGTTCATAGCATATGTGGATTATCAATTACTTAGGACGCCAAACTTGAGTAAGAGAGTGGCAAGGACAATCATTAAAAATCTAACAACCCAATTCTCTAGAAGTAAGAAAAAAAATTTTGGAGGACCAATTAACATTAAACCTGCTGTAACGATTCTGGTGTAGCTTGAGGAGCATTTTCATGAGCAGATATATATAGTGGATCTTTCAGCGCTAGACGCACTAAATCTTTTACATTTTTGGTTTGCGTGGCCGAGAAAAGTAATGTTTGACGGTTGTTCGGTAAGTTTTCCAGGATTGCATTCATCTGTAGCAAGTAAAAAGGTGAAATGCATTACATTATTCGATTCAGGACGGTTTGTCTCCAAGACTGCAAAAGTACAAGTCGGTTACGACCGACTATTATCAGTCTGTCGAGCAAAAGCAGCAGTGAAACCGTTTTGTCTGATAAAACTCTTCGTCAAGATCGCAGTGCTTAAACTGTGTCCCAAAATTATAGAAATATGTTCCAAAATACATATGTTCCAAAATTATAGAACATGCTATCATTCTGAATAATCACTCACCTGTCTTGAGAAACCAAGGTCTAAAATCCTATCAGCTTCATCAATGACAAGAATTTGCAGTTGTTCACATGAAAATGTACTATTCTCGTCCATATGTTGCAATAATCTGCCAGGTGTACATACCACAATGTTCACCGAACCTATTCGTTTACTTTCGAACTCTACATCAGTTCCTAGAAAAATCCGGACAAATTATTTTTTCACTACTTTTGAAAGTTATTGCTGAAATTTGATATAAATGATGCAGCTACCCACCTGAAAATTGAATGATAAATCTTGAAGGTTTGCATTTTTATCGAACGATAACTTATGAGCTCAGTATCGGAGAGTCATGGTAGTGTTGGTCTTCGCTACATACATGATATCAGTAACAGCTTAAGAAGCGCAAAATGGAGGCAAAAAAATACTATAGTTAACTACACAAAAAAAAACCCCCAATAAGTAGAGCAGCCGAAAACTGATGCCGCACTCCGATTTTGTTCAAAACTTGAAATGTCTGGAAAGCGAGTTCCCTAGTAGGACTGATAATCAAAGCACCTAATCCGTCAATTGTACGCGACCATCTCTGCCTCCATAAACATTCTAAAACCTGCAAAAAGCACATATGAAAAACTGATCAGAAATCAAAGGTCATCATTTTAAAGAGATCTTTAAGAAGGAAATAATGCGGAATAAATACAAAGAGCTGTAGATATTGAATGGAATTTTATGATCAAAACTGACCGGTATAAGGAAAGCAAGCGTTTTTCCACTGCCTGTTTTGGCAGCACCAACCACATCAGCACCGGTCAATGAATACTGCAATGACTCACGTTGAATGTCGGTGGGATTTACGAAATTACTTTCCTTGAGACCTCGTTGTGTCGCTCCCGATAATGGCATTCGCGAAAATGAAGTAAGCGTCTTGGTATCTTCCTGTAATTCAAATTTCTTTGCTGATAAACATATAAGGGATGAATAAGGTAATGAAAGCTGCAAATTAACTTGAAGCTGGAACATACTTTCGCGAAATCGGCATATCGTGCAGTTATCGACTCAATAGTTTCCTTTACAATTTTTCCACCTTTCCGTTGTTCAGGAATGAACTTTTTTGGAAATTTGCTGCATGTATCCCGTAAATGACGCATACGTAACACTGAAAACCATGGCTGCTCTAATAAGAACAGACTGAAACCATACGGTGCATGCATCGATAGTGCGAACGGGTAATGACTAACGACTGACGTAAAAATCAAAAAAAGAACTAGAATGACAACCCAGTATACAATGTGGAAAATTTTAGTACTTGAAGATAATTCCAACTTATATCACTTTGTTAACCTGTAATTTTGCCCACTCATCCATTAAAAAAAGAAAAAATCTACAACTTCAAACAATTCAAATAACTAACACTAAAGAATGACAGAAAAACCATTAAAAAGATACAGAATTTATTGAATGCTTGCCCAATTTTAGCGAGAGTTTCGATCTTTCTCTCCTTAAAGGATGGGAAAGCTGCTCAACCCATAAAATGTCCAAGATTTAACATAACAAGAATGTAACGGTACGTGACCAATTCAAAGCATGATGAGTAAGCCAAAGCTAACTTTTTTTATTTACATACTGCTCGTGTATAGTATAAATTAACTAATACCACATGTATCGCCTATGACATAAAAACAGTAAAATGATAACATAGTTACCACTTCAAAATTAATTCCTTTAAAAGGAAGCTTGTCAAGATAAACTATTTTTTCGAGCTTTCTGAAGGAAACTGTTGCTGTTTGATAGAACGAAGATGTGACTGTGCTTCCTCTTCCATAGCTTGCTTCTTCCGTCGCATTTCTGTGTACTGTTGAATTTCCTTTTCCAGCTCTTTATTCAAATCATTAACTGTTTTCCCTTCGAACATCACTGCTACAGCACTTTCAACTGACGGAGTTTCCATCTGCTTTGTCGGCAACTCGTTTACCATTTCCTTATTTTCCAAGTGATACTTGCTCGCTAAACGGTGCAACTGATCTTCTAATGATCGATGCGTCTGCAATAAATTATAACATACAATAATCAACTGTCGATGGAATTATTAACAGTCAAATATATTTCACAACATTACATGAATAACGATTCAAGTGCATTCCAGTTTATATTATAGAATGTAAAATGGTACTATAGAGTTCATTTGCTCCAAAAAACTGCCTTAAACATGGGAAGGAGCAGGGAAAAAAGCAGAAAAAGAATACTTGACTTTCTATAATAGTTATGTTTTCCTTCACAGCTGTAATATGTAAATTTTAATAAAGAACAGCAGATAAAATACAATCGATTTGCTCCTTGAAGCCTTCAGGCAAAACATTTGTAGCTGACAAAAGCTGAAATGACAAAGTGACTTTACCTCAGGTGTAACATCTACAAGTCCATCTTCTTTGCCAGCCATCTTAGATTCATATTCTTTGATCTTTTTTAGAAACAAATTCTTAACCAAGTTATCAGACTTGAAACTTTGTGTTCCTGTGCTTACCATTCTCCATTTCGCGGGTAATCCTAATCGCAACAACATCACCTGTATTGTGAACATTTCAAAGAGTACAACATCAATGAATTAGTAAGAATGGGCGATACATTAAAACGACTGAAACGTCAATAATCCTATATGTAGTAAGAAGTAAACATATTGGTATAAGGTAGTAATAATAATAGAAAGTAAACATCTAACAATAAATAAACACTTGCCACAAAATGTCACACGTCTCGAAAGCTCTAGGACCTCAATTACCTCTAAAGCTAACAGTATGCCCAGAACCACACCCAGAATAACCAAATCACTTTACAAAATCATAAACACCTGCCATCCCCTGCCCAAAACACTGAGGTTTGTTCATCGTATGAGTACTCTCTACAGCTGAGGCGCGATGAAAACTGTCACCCCAGCAGGTGATCATCTGTACGGTACTGAAGAATTGTCTGGGATATTCGAAGTACTGTATGTTTTGTCCTGAAGTTAATTCTAATTTTTGCATCATTGAAATCTTCAAATTATTCGCTTTGTTAGAAATAAAATTACAATAAGATATTACTATATAATGAAATAAAATATTATAAAATTAGAGTCGTCACTTTATTTATTTATTTATTTACTTATTTATTTATTTATCTACCCACTTATTTATTCATTTATTTGCTCGTTTATTTATCTATTCATTTACCGGCCTATTTAACTAATTAATTGATTAATTTAGCCACCTACCCGTTTGTTTATTTATTTACTTATTTATTCATTTCTTCTTAATTATTTTTGCTTAATCTTATATAATTTCATTCGCTTCTATTTATTCCCATATATTATTTTTCTTATTTGTTTCTACTTGTTTTCATTTATTTTTATTTCTTTTCATTTCCTTTTATCTTTTTTACTTATTTTCATTTACTTCCATTTCTTTTTATTTTCTTTTGTTTCTTTTTTGTTCATTTATTATTTATATTTTGCTTTATTCTTTAAAGCGTAGATACTGATTTATTCATTCATTTATAATAAATTAATCAACTGTTTGTTGTATTAGCAATGGTCAATCTCTCTTTTTTTCCTGTTCTTTCTCTCTCCCTCTCCCTTTCCTTTTTTCTTATCTCCTTTTGTCTTATTGAACTTTCTTTTTTTTGCTTTTCTCATCGAATAACACCTTTTGACCCTTTAATCGAGGTCAAGGGACAAAAGGTTAAGATCTTGACTTAATGATATTTTACGATCCCCATTTAACAACACATGCTATAAATCCTAATATCGAGATTTGTATACACTACCTGGTACTTTATCAAGTAGTAATTGCAGTATTGCAGCTGCAGTTGTATTTGAAGTTTTAAGCTTTAACATAAATATTTTAGTCTAAACAAGTATACAGCAAGTGGTTGCTTTGTTTACTTAAGTAAGATGTGATGAGTAAACGACCATTAAATCCCGAAGCACAAGAAGCATACCAATGCTCTTTCTTCTTTTCTGCTTTTTTTCTCTCTCTCTCTCTCTCTCTCCTTTCCTCTCTGTTCCGATTCAATAATCCCTTCATTCCACCTTAAAGGAAAAAAAAGAAATTTAAAAATTCCATTGATCTCTGTTTATAGAAAGACCACATCTCATTAATCTAATAGATATTTCTGAGGTTTTTTTACGATTTACCACATATTTTAAGAAATTGGACGGTACAGTTGACAGTTTGGAGACACTCTTCATGCAAATTATGCCGATAAAATTACCATTCCGTTTTAACATTTCAATAAATTTTAGTTATAGCCATTGAAATTTGTAGTAATCAGGTATTTCAATGCCTGATGTACTAATTGTTTATCGCGGAAATTGTATTTGATGAGTAAGCAAATGAGCGCAAACATTTTGTTTTATGTGATACAATGACGACCAATTATGTCCCAATTTATAATATTGATTATTCATATTAGTTTCATCAAATTTAAATGGTATTATAAAATTTATCGCCGATCTTTGTACCATAAGCAATTAAAATTTAAAAAGAAAAATTCCCTAAATTATTGCTTCCTTACATTAATTTTCTGATGCGATAACATAAAAACGCTTCTTTACTAATCGATATTAAATTTGCAAATTAAACTTCACTGAGATTCGAATGGTTCGGAAAGTTAAGGCAAAATAAAAACTCAGTTCGTTTATAAAGAGTGAAGCTAAATTGGCAACAATTTGATAAGCAAGTTTTGATTGGAAGTCATCTCATATATTTTCATATCTTTTCCGTAATAGAATGACTCACAGATTGTTTGCTGGATGTTTTCCGCATCATTTATTATTCTCTATCGATCCATACGTTGAATAGCAAGTTTAATGCAAGCATGATTAGAGCTTTGGAATCTGATGCTTTATGTTTGGTTCAACAGTAAGTTTTTTTGTCTGGACATTTTTGGCTGCTTCAGCTTCAGCACACATTGTCTGGGCACTTTTGGCTGCTTCAGCATTAACATATGATACCTATTCTGTCAGTACAGTAGGTAGACGATTTTCTCCTCCTTAAACATATATATATATATATAAGTCAAAGATGTTAGTAGTACATTATACCCAATTAATACACCTATGAAATCTGATCGTCAAGGTATGTGATAGTGTTACTGATTGATTCATTGGTAGGAAAGGAGGTGTGTATCGTTTGCTCATCACTGATAGAACAGTTTCCATCAATGCTTCTCCATGTTTGTCTTAGCAGAATGCTTTTCATCTTTCCATTTCATTATCTCTCTTGTAGAATTGTTCATTTTCTCGATAATTTAATCGAACCAATTTAATTTTTTTGAAAAAATCAATACTTCTTTTTTTTGCCTTAATCATTTCATTCTCTTCCTCTAATACTGCTTAATTATTTGTCGTTTTAAATGAATATCTCTGTGAAGTAATTCTCAACTATCATATCTTAATCATTATATCTTAATGATTCTGTTGTTATCATATCCATATGGAAGAATGGATATCACTATGTAATATTGACTAGCTTGTAATTAATCACTGATAACATCGTTTATGTTATCTAGCCTCATTTCATTATCATCCCTGTTTTGTTCTGTATATGTTAAACAAATGAGAAAGAATATTTCATGAAATTAATATACAATGGCTCCAGAAGATGAATTTACTTTCATCCTTCACAATACGTCAGAAAGTGTTATATATACATATTTTTTAGATGAATGATGACAATGGTCTTCAGTTTGGCTGATCTGTTGAGATTATATTGAGGGATTACATCCTTTAAATTAAAAAAATGAATCATTGAATGTCGTTGAATTCCCATTCATTAAGCAAAATATTTGAATTTATTTACAGTTCACTTCGATGGTATCAATTCTTACCATGAGCTAGTTTTCACCATCGATAAAGAGGAAAAGTTTTCTTCTAATTATAGCTTAATTTCCAGATTCGATTAGAAGCCAAATTCCGCCCAATACTTTGAATCTATCAAAGGGAAAATGCTGATTAAGCCGATCCATGTTTGGCTTTCTTATTTAATATTCGCACTGAGTAAGTATTTTTATATCAAATTATTGTATAAATCAGTGATTTCAAATAAATTTCGCTACAATTTTTGAATTTGAGTTGACTGGAATTTATGAAAGTGAAATTGATTTTTTTAGTCTGATAGAAACATTTTGGGACATCACATCCTGTAAATATTGAAAAAGGTTTTTTTTCCGACCAGTTTAAACAGTATAAAACTTGGTTTTTTTTTCCCCAGAGTTATAGGTTTCCGGAAGACCCTCTAATTGACTAGTCATGATTACAACATCTATCATACTAAAAGTCATACTGAATCTTGGCATAAGAATAAATTGCCTGAACGAGGGGTATGATTATACCTTGGCTTGATTGTTATCAAACAGCTTGGTATTACGATCGGATATCATATTTTAATACTGTCATCAATAATATGATTATATATGATAATCTTGTTTAATATGCAAATTTTTGTTGTAGACAATATGGTGAGTGGTCAGCTACATAATCCATTATCGCATTATATCGAGGGACGTCTCGGCAACAGAAAAATTTGGTGGTGTCCATCAGGATACGGTATTACTCAATACACTACACTTTCTTCCAGTCAATTCAGCTAATATTATCCTCATTACCGTACTTGAAGCATTTGCCTCAGGTCTTTTGTCTTGGCTATTCATATATTCCCTAATTGCAATGGATGGTAGCAGTTTTCAAGTTTTTTTTTTCCAAATTTCAGGATATTTGGCTTATTGTCCACAACCAACCGACTGGGACAGCTACAACTGGTGTTGCACGTGGCCATATTTAGGCTCGTGGAAACCGTCCTGCTGTCCATTTGCTGTCCCAACCGGTGCATTAATTGCTATTATCATCGCTTCCATTGTTTTAGTAGCCTGTAGGTTTTATCTTAATTAATTCTATTCCTTTCATTACAATTCGTTTAAATATCACAGAATTATGGAATCCTAAATGAAGACACCTTTCGGCACTTCTTGATAATACTAATCACCGGGTTCTCTAGTAGGATCCAGTCAATGTCATCGATGCACAACGAATGCAGTTTGACACCCCATTTTATAAGAATTATACGATGTTAACTATCAGATACAAAAATCATTCCTCCCGCAGTACCGCGATGATATAACCATCTCAAGTGAAAGATCTGACGCAGAATAATTTCAACCCGTTTGCAGTGCTCATTTTCCTATCCTGTTGGTGTTGCTTTTGCTGTCCACTATATAAACAACTATATGATACCGATGAGAAGGATTATGATGCAAGGCGCTGATAGCAGAACTATAAGCTGCAATTTCAAGATAATTACAGTGATATTTCAAGATTATTACAGTGCCTTCATTTTCCATCATACCTACCACCATATTCGAATTTTGCCGACCTATTTCATATTTCGGGACTTCTCGGAATGTGTTATTTGCGAAGAATAATATCCTTTTTTGAGAAATTCAGTTAAAATATCAAAACTACCAAAATATTCGCTCATAGCAGAGTCTTCAATAGGCAAGAAGTTTATCAGTTCTATCGAATTACAATTCGTAAAAGGAAAATGTTTAAACTATGGTCTTAAACTTTTTTAACCAATAAGCATATTTTGCTGCTTAACATATACTTTTCTACAACAATGGAGGTGATGTTGATTAAATAATATGAAGGCGAATGTGCTGAAGGATAATCTAGTAATGACTAAACCTTAATCATAACTAGAATGATAAATATAGAATGATAACTTTAAAGTGATAAGAGATAAAATCTGAAAGTATTTTATAAATCTATTCATCATTTATCCCTTATGCATTTCACTATTTACTGGTTTATTTTATTGTAATTTTTCTTTTTCGATTTGGTTTTCAAGTAAGAATTAATTCTTAAATTATCCATCGTTTCTTTGAGAGTGAAGATCCTAATTAAATGAAAAAAAAAAAAAACTAAGGTGAAAATTGAAGATTTGATTGAAACTTTCTGAACTCTTTATATTTTCGAACTAATCAAGCCATTTTAATCCCCTTTTCTGTTTTCTCCAGTAATGAGCAATTTGTCTAATTGCACAACATATATTGTTAAGGAATGCTGTGAAAAGAATTACCTTTACCTTTTTGTCTTATATCATTATTTTCAGCTATCGTAATTCTGGATCTCTTTTAAAAATATTATTCCCAATTATGGATTCAATTTAAATTTTTTTAGTAAATTTCACTTCAGTAAGCTGGAATGATTGTTTCTTCAATTATTTCAACTTTTTGAAAATAAGAAAATATGGAAGAAATTATTGCAAATCTTTTAAGAGAAAGTGATTGAAAAAACTTTTAAAATAATGCAATTTGCTCATAAAGTAACATATATAACAAATTTGATGGAGGATCCTTTTTCACTCTCAAACTAGCAATCGTCGAATGATGTAATCATACTTAGCTTGTTATCATCGATAATCTAACACTTACTGCCTTACTTAATTTCATCTATCTGGAAGTAAAAGCCAACAATATAGCTTCTATTTTATCTCTCGCTAATTTAACTTCATTATTCATTCATAGCAACATCCCTATGATAGTGCAAACTGTTTTGAGGATAACCTTCTTGTTAACAGTATACCTTGAGGTCAAAGTTATACGCAAACACTTGCCACGCCCTATATAATTTTTTAAAAAAAGGCCCTACTAAATAATAAAGTTGCAAAAATATTTTGTGTACGAAGAAGGTAATTCTTATGACATTGTTTATTTGTGTTGTCATTTTGTTACCTCATTTAACAGATGCTCCGAGATTTCTGTGTATGTTTGTAAACTTCTGAATAAAATGTTTTTGCAGCTTTTCCGTACAAATCGAAAATCTAATCGATAATTCATGGCAAAATAAATGAATTCTGCAAGATCCATTAGCAGTGATAACTTTATAACTTTTATTTAACAATAGTATTTACTACAATCTAAGTATGTAATGATTGGGATGAATTTCTATCATGACATATCAAATTATATATCAGCGTTTCACTATCTAATCAAAGCATTTTGCTCCGAATCTTTCTTATGATAAATAAGAAAGTTTGCCTGCACCGCAAACACTCAAACATCCCTGCTTGTGCTTTTAACGACAGTATTTTGTTTCAAAGATTTATTGTTCTAAAAATTTTTATGAATTAGGAGTTTTGAATGCTACCTCATCAAAGATGAAAGAAATGTATCAAATAATCAGAATGACATCTATCACAGGGTGATTTGTCTGGGTAGTGCATGTTTGGCTCCTGAAGACTATAAAAGCGCCAGATATAAAGATAATTTATGATAAGGAATAAGGAAGAGATAAATTGCAGTTTTTGAACATACCATTCAAATAATAATTCATCTCTACAACTACAGGAAATACAAAATTTCAACCGTAAATGAGTTCAAATAAATTTGTAATTGAAGTGAATTACTTTCCGCCATAATCTCACCAAGATGATTCGCTCATGAGCGTATAGTGCAAATTACTGTCTTGCTCTGCATTTGAATTTCAACCACTTCTAAACTTCAAGCCTTGTTATGGCATAAGCTGGTGATTTCAATCGGCGGTCTACGAACACTAAAGACTGCGAGAGTTATTAAAAATTATGTTCCTTCTTTTTTATACTATAATATTACCCCAAATTTACCAATACCTTAAGAGTTTCGATTAATGTATATTTCCGGATTAGCAGAATTTATTATTTTTGAACCTTGTAATCTTCCTACAAATAAAAAAGCCAAAATCGCCCCTGATCATGAAAAGGTTGGATAAAATGTGACAGAGAAGGGTCGTTCGCATCTGGCCCTAATTCATGCATTTCTTGTAATTACAAACAAATAGGCGGAAAAAGAGAGGGAAAAGAATATAATAATAAATCTTGATTGATATGGTTTGCCTGTTCAATAGATTACAAACATGTCCGGTATGGCTCTGTGGAAATTAATTACTAACTAGTGGAAGTTACAGAAAACATTCGATATGTTTTCGAGTAAGTGATTCAAGGATGTCGATTGCCTCCGTGCTATCATTCAAACACGGCACATAAACGTATTCTTCTCCACCGTGTTTTCTAGAAATTTACATCGGCATTAAATTGAAATCCCAGACTTTACGAATATAATCTGTCTATTTTTGTGGCCAAATTCCAATCATAAACTAAAATACCGAAAAGAATCGGCAAGTTGAACCCCCAATTCTTCCATCGTTTCCACACAATCGCTAAAGAAACCGGGTGCGATTACCAAGATTCGTTTCACTCCACGCCTCAAAGTTTAAAAGAAAATGGGAAATCATTAAAATTTTAATTACTCAATTCCATAAACTGTTTGAACTAGCTTGAAAGATCTAAACCTATTTAAAGTTGTAGTTTTATATTGCTCTTAGCAAATTAGTCTCCTTTTAATATCAACAGGTGTTAATAATAGATATGGCGGTTTCAGAAAAATAAATTTCCTTTGCAGTACCTGGCAGGAAGAAAAACGGATTAATATCAATTTGATCTTTCCTTAAATTGAGCTTCAACATATCCAAGCTTGTTGAAGCATGGTAGGTAAATTACTCGTTTTTCATTTCTCTTATAAAGTGAATATCTAAATGGAAGTTCCCCGTGATGTCATAAAATGATTCGAAATTACGTTAACTTTAACCCTAAAATTTACTTGGCCAGTTCTATGACGGTATCTTCAGTGTATGGCTTCAACCATTCTCCGGGTCCAAATCGAGACTGGAATGTCGTTATTAAGTCACAGTTTGAAGTTCGCCATCTTTGTCTAAAATTACCATCGAATAATCCTTACTAAAACCACAAGGATTAAGGGTTTATATTCGAAGTAATTAAAATATCTTGCAATGTTGTACTAAGAATCATTTTCTCAATTCATCAAATATCAAATATAAACCGTAACAGTGTTGTTGTATGTTTGCACTGGAATCCGTATGGATCACCATTAGACTGATATGACAGTGGTATTCCATGATATGAGACAATGATTATTTGTGGTGGTGCTCGAAACTTTCTTTGAGCAGAATTTAAACACTTAAGAATTGTTTTGACGTACAATTCGTTATCATAAAATGGTGGTACCACAGATAAAATCATTTGACGACGTTGCTTCATCAAACAACGACAAGTCTAAATTTTTTTGTAAAGAAATGGTAAAATACTGAAGGTTTTGACGATGGATAGGGAAAGTCAATACAAAAAAAATACTTAAATTATAACTGCAAACAAAAAAAAACACGTAATAAATAAAAGAATTTCCTAACAGAATAAATAACAGAAGAATTTCCTTTGAAGTCAGATTCGTTGCCGCAAGTAATGTATAAGTGCTAAAATTCCATTAAATTGTTTTTAGAACTCGAAAAGCTTAGCTTCATATGTTGCAAAGAACAAATAGATAATACAAATTTACTTCATCGAAAATGGAGGCACTTGTAACAGCGGAGAATTGAGGAAATAAGGGAAATACGACAAGCTTGTCACATCCTAAAATTCTCAAGTTTTCTTCATGAAAATTTCGATAACAGTTCATTACTATATAAATTGCCAGCAAAATTTCTTTTGTAAATTTTATGCTTTTATTTGAAACAAATTTTAAAATGAAGCATGTCCAAAAAAACAAAGTATTTTTTTGTTTCGCAAATGATTTGTTAAATATGTTTGTCTAAAAAAAAAAGCAGGGAAAAGATGCCTTCCTTTTCCAGTATGCGTATTCGGGAAGCGATTGACGGCTCACCATACCGAAATGCCCAATCAACCGTAATCTAAACATTAAAAAATCATTTCCATTATTAGATTACACGATGAGATGGTACTAAATGAAAGATTTTCGAAGCTCAATCCATGGCGAGGGCACGTTTAGGAACATGATATCTACGGAGTCATTAGCTTATTCAACTTTCCTAATCATTAATTAATGTTACTATAACTGTAATAATCACTGTTATTATTTTCTTCCAAAAAAGATAAGTATTATAACATTACCGATTGATCACACAAGCGATTAGCCAATTTAGTCGCTTGATTACGGGTCGTAGTGCGTAACGGAGACTCATTCTGTGAGGTATTCCAAATCGATCTAAATACTGTAACATTTCCGTTATCATCCTTTTCTGATCTTATACACTGTCGAACGACACTTAGTAAAGTATTACAGTAAGATTCGAAGCATTTTATCATACTTTACTTAAATTATCTTTCCTTTTTTTAGAAACAAATTATATTACTTGTAGCATTTCCCGAAGATGAATGGTCTTGTTGTCAGAACAAACAAATGTAAGATGGGCCACCACAGGATTCGGGGTAACTCGATAACTCGTCGATCACTGAGAAATTCCCGAAGGAAGCGCCTCATTGGCCAATAATTATAACCAGATGGTGTACCGGTATTTACAACAAGTACAGCTATTTTCTTCTTTAATTCCTGGAATAAGCATTTGGAATACAATGTGGAGAAATTATTTGAAAAGACTAAGTGATTTTTTTTTATTCCAGTGGACTTATTCGAACCATACTGTAAATGATTGAAAAGAAGAAATGTGATATGCCAGAATAATACTCCATCGGTCGATATATTTATTTGAAATAAATATTGAACGGAGTGAAATGATGATGACAGTGACAAATTGAGAGACAGCCCATAGTAATGGTATGCTCAGGAAATTTCGATAAGGGATAAGGGAATTCCTTATCATTCAATAAAATGTACGACTCTTCATTTTAGACAACCTGGAGATTACTATGATTCATTGTAATACGCCACCTGGTGGTGGCAATATATGGCCTAATATCGTTTTCTTGCAAGAGATCCCTGGTAAGAAGGAAACCCGTTACAGAAAAAAAAATAACCGCTGATCATTTACAGAAATTTCTGAAAAAAAAGCTCCCGAAAGAATTTCCTGAATAAATCAAAAATTTGAAGGTGCAAGCAGTTTAGCCATTTATTTTGATCTATTAAATTGCCCATACTAGTAAAGGGATTTTGCTGGAAAAATATTAGGAATAATATAGGATATATTTGTGGCCATGGATTCCGGTCACTTGACTTGGTACAGGGTGTCCAAGGAATAGCCGCGGGGTTAAAAGATGAAGTTCTTAGACCAGATTACGGAGTTAATGCCATCTCTGTCTCTCGGAATCTATCTCGCTATCCTAAGGATAATGCCATCTCTGTCTCTCGGAATCTATCTCGCTATCCCTGTTGTAAACCAGAGTTGATTCCTGTAAGACATGAAAATAAGTAATTTATGGTGATTCAAAAAGACGATTAATAAACAAACCGGTATCGATTCCTTCTCATTGATTATATTGGAAACTTCACTACCAACCGATGAAGTTATACGTCGAATAGCATACCATGCTTGTCTACTTTGAATGGCGTACATCATTACACATTCACGTACTACACGTAGCTTACTGTAAACATAATGTTGACATAAAGCAAAAATACTATCAATATGTAAATACCATCTCTAAATAACTGTCTATGCCGTTGAAATGAATAAAATCAACTGATAAATGAATTGACTGACTGCAAAAGATCGTCGATCAATTCATTGCTAAAGTTCGGCCGATATAATATCACAGATCGGAGAACGAATTTTATGAAGTTTATTCGGTGTATGCACGTGTTGCATTTATGTTGACGTTTTATGGTGGATAAAGTGGCGTTTTTTCCATCTCATTTCCCTTTCCATCCATCCAACATTCAGAAAGAGAAAGTTTTTATGTGCTATAATCAAAGGATGATATTTAGAATTCCTGAAATTAGACCGCCATCCATTTTGTATTTTTTTGAAGTTGGGAAACCTTATGCCCTTAATATACGCTCGCTATTAGATTTATTTCTCAGATCTATTAGATTTATTTCTCGTTGTGATTTATTTCTCAACCGCTTTCATTACCAAGTGATACAATGTGATATAGTATGTTTAATATAGTAATGCAATGGTATAGGATAAGGTTTAATACGGTATAGTTCTGTTCATAATGCGGTGCAACACGGTAGATTACGATAAAGGTGAGGTGATAAAATGTCTATGTACACAATGTCGTCTTTCATTATCTTTAGTATTATGATTACAGTGATATATGATTATGATGATTGTAATTATCAGAAGTTTCTTGGAAAAAAAAGGGAATGAGCAGTTTTTCATATAAAAGCTATCGGAGTCATAAAAAGATAGTCGCACTCGCAATCCAATCATGCAAGTACTGCATGTGCATGACTGGTCCCTTCAATGTCCGTCATCTTGTCGTCGGTCACGTCCTTTAGGCATGCATGTATGTATCACTGTCATAACCTAGTGACAAATGCATTTCCGTGGAAAAACGCAGTTGGGGATATTGATGATATTTTGGGAATGCATGGGTGGAAGAAGATTGAGAGTGAAGAGAAAAGAGCACGAAGGAGAGACAGGAGTAAGATTTGTGGAATATCATATTGTTAAAGATTGAAAAGGAAAAGACTGGACAGTTTTTTTTGATCTGATTGAATATGAGAGAATCTTTTTGTATGGGAGAGATGGAAAAGTATCAAGGAGTAAATTAAAGCAGTCTTAGGATTACAACAACTTATTATATCACAGCAAGGTACAAATATTGCTGGAAACGAGCGAGTATTGGATGGAAATAAATTTCTAAAATTAAATCATATTAAATTAATTAGATGTAATTGGAATAGACAATTCAATAATACCACATTACCATTGTTTTACACATTTCTGACTTGTCATTTAGATGAATTCTTTATGGTTAGTGAACTTCTATTGACTGTTGTTTCTGTTTACAAAAAAAGAGAATGTTAATGAAATGGATTGGCCGTGGAAAGTTGCTTCCTGGAAAGATTTGAATTTGGTCAATTTATAATAAGGCTTATAAGAATAAGGAAGAGTTTAGGCATATGTTGTTATCGAGATTAATTAAATGCATCAAATCAGTTGCTAATTGGTGATCTAAGTAGGTTATTCGTTCATCTCCTTAGTCGCTCAGTTTTATTTCCTCTCGCTTATATTCAAAGATCCAATCGGTACCATCAAATGGATTGCATAATTAGTTTTTGAAATCTAACATTTATAATAGGACAAAGACGAATGACCTTCACGAAAGCATTTCGTTGTTCAGTTAATTTGGAAAAAAGTTTCCCAAGGAACATCGATCATCTTTGTCGTCATTAGAGACAAAATTAAGTTACCTTCACCCTAATTGTTTGCCATCCACGGTGTCGTGAAATGGAGCAACAGCAGATTTTATCAGAAGATCAAGAGGTTGAAATGTCCGTTCACACCGATGAATTCAACAAGCAAGATGATGAAAGCCGACAAGAGGAGAAACGGGAATCAGAGATCGAAAGTCGACCCTCAACAAGTACTGAAGACGGGATGTGAGTTGCTCAATTGAAATTTCATAAATTTTACAAAAGATGATTCCCAAGAAGAATCATATTCATCACCTTCCTTGTCATCTTTTACTCCCTTATTTATAAAATCATTATACTTTACAGCGATTCCTGGTTTTTGGTTCTTAAAGGCTTATGTTACTTAATCAACTTGTTGAAATGTAAAACAAGTTTTTCAGTATTATTATAGACAATGATGCTAAAATTATTTGTACTGCAATGCAGTATATTACTGAGGTTATAATACTTGGAAATTATGCTTTGAAGTGCTTTAAGTGACTAGATGTACTTCTATTTTCAGGATATTTGCACGACATAATTGTGATGTATTATTGGTTATTTCCAGGCAGTATTTTAATTATACATCACCATGTATTTCTTTTAATGAACAAATCTGTGCATAAATTCTTTCAGTTCATTACCTATCGTGGATGGTGTTATCTACAGCTACAAGTATATATCAAAGGTCAAAGATTTACCGGTCAAAGATATGATTAACAGGTAAATCAATTATTCAGCTCCGCTGATTTGTCACTTTACTCAATTTTTCAAAGTTATTTAAAAAATAGAAATTCGTTTTGACATATTCCAATACCATTTTACCTTTCAAAAATTTTCGATTTTTCTACTCCAACAAAATATAACCAATTAAATAATTTTGGCTATCCAAAGCTTACTTGAGAATCATCTTTCATTTACTCAAAAGTGGTCGAAACCAATGGCAATACTAATAGCGGTTGGTTCCTGCTGTTCAATTAATATAAAAGTTCAATGTGATGAATATTTTAGAGATATTTTTTTGCTGTAATATAATGGCGAGCTTCTTCTTTGCGAAAGCTCATCATTTTTTTCCAATCTACAAATTTGATGCAATTTCAATAACATCGAAAAGTGAATTATATTGTCTGCTTTAAGTAACTTGTTGTATTACTTTATCCTCTACTTTTACAACTGTTATATTGTATTATAGTGTTTGATGCAGCTGTTACAATGATAAATTTATAATTTTCGGCATCCAATCAAATATCTTATTTGATTAATTGTTTGATATTTGTTTTCAGTTCTGTGAAAAGGAATATAAGACTGCCGAAGATTTATTTAACTGGTCGACCTTTCGAAATCTCATTCCTTCTAGATACAGATTTCATTTCCGAGCGAGATCTTTGGGTGGACAATTTAGGCATGTCTCTTTTTTAAAAGATTTGTTGTGCATTTGTTTTATTTTATTCTGACGACAATTTGAAGAACTATATAAATTTAAAAAAAAAATAGTTCATTTGAGCATTACTAAAAAAAAAGAACAAAAAGAAAACGAAAAATGAAAGCGCGTAACATGCACAACAATAATTTATATGGAAGAAAAATTTTTATTTGCGCCTTAAAATAACATATACTAGAAACCAAGAAGTAAATAAAAATGATCCTTTTTATTAATAAAACGGATAAAAGAATTGTTCTAGAATAATTAGCTGTAGTGATAACGTTAATTAGAAATTTAATTTTTTTATTTCTTCTTTTTGTTGTAATAGTATTTTTGGAATCCTTTTCGTTTTGCAAAATGGGTTGCACAGTAATTTCACTTTTTTTTTTTTGTTCAATAGATGATCATTCTAAACCGATAAAAATTATCTAATTCATTTTGACATCAAAATACGATAGCTTAGCAAATTTTTTTACAAAAAAAAATCATACAGTGTTGAATGAATATTCAGTTCCCAAATGAAACTGCACTCAGTGTTTAATCATCCTTCAAAATCACCTAGTAAATAAGTTTAATGCCAAATTACATTTTATTTTTGTATCTAAACATTTAAATATATATAAATTATTGTTCATTGTTATTAGAAATAAAATATTAGTTAAAATACAGGTTCATGGGCTGGTACCGTACGAAGACCAACTTGTAAGAGTATAAGAGTTAACGCTGCAGGTGTTCCGGACACCAAGCATCCATATTATATCATAAGGAAAAAATATGGCAGCCATCCTCATTCGGATCCACCTCTTGGTTTAATGAAATGTTTGTGTTATTTGACCCGAGATGGACGAGCAACAGGGAATGCTCTACTGTCGTACAAATGTTTGGAAAATTGTAATCTTCAACCACGTCCTCATGGAAATAATAAACATAGCCAGAGTCCATACATGAGGACATATCCATCAACTTTGCTGAAGATCAAAGAACGTATTGGATCACAAAGTCCGGCAGCTATTTGGAATGAACTATCGGTTGATTCGGCTGGTAATATGGATGCACAAGCAACACTTCGGGATAGGAAGCAGGTTTATAATGCTCGACCGATTCGAAAGAAATCACCAGGTATCCTGTCATTTCTTGCACTTGCAAATTTTTTTAATAATAAAACTTTAGAAAATTTATGGTTTAGTAAGCAACAATTCCATAAGTAATGGACTTTTTGAAGCGCTCTGTAAATAAATTTCGTCAGGTTTCTTTAATCTGATTATATTAGGTTTCTTTAATCTGTTTATATATGTTAACTAAATCTTATTGGTTCGACAACTTTATTCACGTTTTCAATTGCAAATTGTGAGTGTTGTCTTAGTTTTTTATTCCAAGCATACATATCAAATTTAAGTATATCTGATGATATGTGAGCTATTTCCGATGTACTATTTGATGCCAGAATAATGAAATGCTCCTTCTTTTCTATTATAATAATAGAATGCTTCTTTTTAACGGAAAAGAAGGAAAAAGATTTTTAATGAAACAAAACTTCTTGGAATTTGTAATTGAAATCGAAATCTATGACGTTAAGAGCATGCGAATAAATATTAGCCAGGATAATGTTATTTTTTACCCGTCTAGGCTCATTATTTTTTTTACTTTAGATCCACAGACGCGAGATGATATTAATCATCTCAAGCTACGTGTGGTAGCATTGGAGGAGCAGAATAGCAAGTTGATATTTACGAATGCTAGTTTAATGGAATTAGTGAATGATTTACACAAGGCGAAGCAAGAACTGGAAGCGGAAAATCGTCGCATAAAGCAGGATAGTCATCAAGAAAGGACGAATGGTATTAGTACTTCTATCGAATATTTCTATCTTTTATCAGTTAATAGTTTTTTCTTTTTATAATTAGGGTTACCTATAGTGACATAGCAAAATGTTTAGGAAAATTGGAAAATAATTGCTTAAGAATGGATATTCGAATAAGTGACGGGAAGTTTCGAAACGGTTTCTTTTATTACGGGAAATTAACTTTAATTGAAGTAAATAAGCCAGATATACAAATGAAGGTGAAAATAATTTTTTTTTTGTCTTGATTTATTCATATGTTTCACTCTAGAAATATAAGCCTTGTTTTTTATTTACCTAATATAGGAGTGTTCTTCGTAATATCACTTATGCATTTTAATGTATCTCACTTCGATAGATAATTGAAAGACGTTTTAAGTTCTGCCTTATTTCTTCTACTTCTCTTATCGTCCTTATTAGCTACAGGTTAAGACTAAAAGTTTTGTTTCCGTGTTCATTATACTTTACGACTCAGTGCATTTGCGATTACAACGTAGCTTTGATTTTCGGGATAATTCCAAAGATGTTCGCAATAGATCTATGATGGATGTATTAAAATTTTTAAATTATTTTCATGTTTGTGGCTCAAACCTCTTTTCCAGGTTTATTACTTTCCCATTCTACTATGCTTGGTTATCCCGGGCAACATGTGGATAAGACTCGAGCTGATATCTATGAAACGGGAGCAGAAACAACGGTAATGGTACGTAATCGATGTATTGAAGAATGTCGAATGCAGGAACCTCCATCGATAAATCAATCAGCGTGCTTTGCAGCTATTTCAGGTCACAAATACTGACTATAATAAGAATGTCGACTAATGTTTTCTAACATCGCACGTGTATTATATTATATAATGAAAATATAACAATATTTTCTCAAAACTATTTGAGATCTATTCATTTTTAATGTATTGTGCATTGATGTATTGTGAACTTAGGAATTACTGATGAACCGGGTAAGATGTGTCAAAAAGTCCTGCATCCTGCTCTAATTGCTTCTTCATTTAATGCTTATTTCAGAATTCATTACAGTATTCTTATCTATAGTATTGGTATTTTGTGATATTATGCGATAAACGTGTAAAATCTTTCTTGATGATTTGTATAACGCTCCTATTCATTGCTTAAATAGTTGAATTTACAAAGAAATTTCTGCAGACGTTTCTGTGCTTAATTGTAAATAGCAAACTTTTAAAATTTTTCACTTCTGCGTGGGATTTGTATGAGATTTGATTTCAGATATTCATTTCAATTCTGGCTTTTTAAAATGAATAAATTTTGACTTGGAATTCAAATATATTTTCCGTAAGGAAATTATTGCAGCGCTTCATTTATTATAATCAATAAAGACAAAGCAGCTTTCACATCAAACTGGCATAATAAGTACTAGGAAGCGAGAAGTGACTGTGGCAAAATACATCTGATGTATAGGGAAATGATAATTAATCATAATCCTACAGGCTTGTCTATACTTCACAATTTAAAAAAGAAAAGAAATTCTATATTCCAGGTGCGATGTTTGAAGGATTTATTCATTGGGTATGTGGTCTTGATTTATTGGGTATGTGGTAGATGTCTTCATCGTCATATCATAAGTTTAATCATAGTTTAATATAGTAGGCTTGATACAAGCATAATACGATGTTTCTATATGTTCTTTGGTCAGCCTAGCTAGCAACATCGGCACATCCGTGACCTTGAGATAAGTTGCAGGATTAAAGTAGCACATTCATAATTTCACTACTATGTTAAATGAAGAAGCCAATTCAGAAGGGTACCCTGTCGTATTTTGCAGTGTAAAATCCCCCCATAAATCAAGTAATAAACAAGTTAGACAAAATTAGGGACCACTTTCATTCATTGCTACTCTGCTAAATGTAGCGACGTGGTTATTGGACAAGTTCACTTTTACTAGCTGTTTGTCCCATAATAATATTTGTCCCAATCCATTCTTACAAGTCTGATTCCTCTTAACATTGTCACACTTGTGACTGATTGTCTTGAAACAACAAGCCATAGGACTGATGGACAATTCATTTCACATGATATGCAATCTCATTTCACATGGACAGTTTATTTCAGATGATATGCAATGTTCGACTTCTAAATGTCGTACTAATATTTATTAACTACATAACACTTTGCAATTTGCGAAAGCTTGATTTATGAGAAAATTTGAAGGTATTTGGAATATTGATCGAATCAATAATTTATTACAAGTCCCAAGTATGAAAACCATAAATTACTTTAGCTTTGTCGAAATATTTCAGCAAAACAACACAGATTCGAAGTGGCGAAAACAGTCATTTGTTATACTTCAGCACATCAAACACTAAGGATTTATGAAAGAGCTACCCAGGACATTTTGTCAAATAAGAGCAAGAGTAACACTGTTTCTCGTGCAACCCGATACTGTGCACTGTTACCAGACCTGGGAACTTTTTTTAAACTGCGGATTTCGAGAAAAAAAACGATCAGCATTTGCATAAATATCTATTAATAATATCGTCAAGGGCAATCTCTAGAGCTGCGTTAGTTCCTTTTAACTCTGATACAACTGCTTTCGACCAAGTAAAATATTCTTTTACTCTTTGTGCATCCCATCCAACCGGTGTCGCACGCTCCAAATCCCGCAAATTGTAAAGTTTATCTGCGAGATGAACCAGTTTTGCCTGCAACAGAATGTACTTGTAAATGAATTGCATAACATGACAATCAAGAATTCATATTCACTGTCGCGCATATCATTGAGATCATTTATTAATTAATACGCAGATAGTACTAGTTCCATTCAGTTTTGATTTTTTTTTTTGAAATACTTAACACAGATTTCTTTTCATTGCATACTCATATATCACTAGTTTGAAAATCTGTTTTGGAAAATCTGCAACATATTTTGTAGTCCAATCCTTTAACAATATCACTCTTCGGTAGTTAGATGTTACCAGATTGTGTTATTCTGCTTTATTCCATTCTTAAAACAGCAACTTTTCCACTATGTTGCTGGTGGTTGATTAATTCTACTCTGACCAAAATTTAAAAATTTCACATCAATATCAAATCTTCTTTAATATTTTGGTGAGAAGTATCATTTACCGAAGGCTACAAGAAGCCCCTAATTACTATTATCATTGCAAAATCTTTTCGAAAAAAGCTTAATGCAAAAAAAAAAATTCTCGAAATCATCTTATTTAAAAGTCAATCTATTAAAATTATCTCATATGGTACATATAAATGATATGGTCAAAACACTGAACAAGAGATAAAGAGTGGTCAAATTCGAAATGCTAAGTATCACTGCAAGTTTTGATATCCTCAACTGCAAAGCTTCAGGGTCTGGTTTTGCACGCAGGGCGATGGACTCGGTTGTAGCGAATATATACACATACATACATATACAAATGAATGAAAGATAAGTTCATCCCAAGATAAGCTATCTCTCGAAAAAAAAGTGTAAAATATGCGATACAGTCCAAATGATTAGCCCAAATCAAACGATTAGTTCAATTTGATCCAATTAATTAATTAGTGATTAATGGTCAGTTCAAATTAGTTCAAATCCAAATGGTCCAAATGAAAAATAATCAGCATAAATAGTATATACATAACTCTCCCCCTTTCTCATTCTCGCTGGTATCAAATTTTAAATTAACCTTGTGCGAATGTCTTGCAGCATTTTTAACTTGTAGCTGTTTCCGTACAGAGACAGGTAAACTCTTATCATCGGTACATTCCTGTACGATCCGACTAATCTGTAAATCCAAAATTGAAAGTGATAGGTCACCAATTAATGGATCTCTGGTAATTAATAGATTTCTGGTTGCACCAACTGCCTTTCTCTAAGTTGGCAGAAAAAGCTCAGAAGTAGAAGCACCTCTTCCCCAAATAAGCCACTGATTTCCTGAAAGGTAGTAGCTGTATCTTCCACGGTATCATGCAATAATGCTGCTGCGATTGTTGCGCTATCTGTTACACCAGCTTCAGAAATTAATATATTTGCAACACCTGAAATAAGTCCGAAATACTCGAATTCAAAATTTCAATGCCTTAACATGAGGGAAGGAAAAGTAAACTGCACATTTTTAGCATGAAGTAAACTACATGAACGTGAAGAAAATGTAACATAGGGAAGTGAATTTTTCATACTTGGAAGAAAGACAACAAAGATAACTTGAATAATGCAATATAATAAAATGTTCAGGTTAGACTAAATGATATGCGCTGCACTGTTGTAGAGGACAGTTACGCTCAGTCACCATACTTCTGTAGTCTTTTAATCCGAAATATCTTGAAAAGTACATAGATATGACAAGTAAAACTATCGAGACTTACCGATGGGATGGTTGATATAAGGCGTTTGTGAAACATCTTTCCGTCTCTGCAAGCGATGACGCTCGGCTGCAAAATTACACGCTTTGATAACGATGCATATATCCATGCCTATCACATTAACAATAAATCCATGTTGAGATCAGATGTACGGACATCATCCACAATAAATACATTCCGTGAATTGTAGATTTTCATATCGAGTTAGTTATGAGGTTGTAGGGATGGGCTACAATGAGATGTTGGTTTTGGTGCGGGTTGTCCGAGCGGGTCCTAGTTTTAAAATGTGCTGAGTTGGCGGGACGAGGAGAGGTAGTTGTAATGCTGAGTTCTGGGGAATTTAAGGCTGGGAGAGTTCTAGGTCTGGCATACCTTGGTATGTCTCGGGTTGGTCTGCATCTCGACAACAGATGTGTATTTTCCTTTTTTACCTTCTCTCTGTCTCGCAGTACTTTCGTTATCGTTGTTGATAACTTCATCACCTTGTGTTTATATAGCAAGCTGACATAGTTCCCATTAATCATATTTTTACAGTTGTTGGCAACGTATTCTAAGTTGCATGTACTTCAATGGCTGATGAATATAAGGAAGAAGCTGGTGACCGGGTAAGAATATCAGTTTATTTGTCTAATGAAAATCATCTGTAACATAGTTTTGATTAGAATTTCATCGCAAAATTTTTATATCATTTAATCAGGGTTAAGATATATCTCCTTTCCTTTGTCGCTAATTTCTAGCGAACATTCTGGAAATTGTCCAATATGTTTGATATGCCTTGTATTTTGTGTTAGTGATGACGAAATGATTACATTTTGCATGAAGCATCATGGATTATCCCGAGTGCACTTTTTTTTAGTAACGTTTTGCAATGTATTTGTGTTACAGTGATCACTGTTTATTTCTTTCTCGTTTGTTTTAGTCTGGAAAAAAAGGGGAATCAAGGAGTGAAATCATTGAACAGGAAATGGTTGACGATCGTAAGGAAGAAAGGACAGTAGCCGATGTTAGGAAAGGTGAAATGAATGTTGGAAGAAAAGATGAAGGAAGTGTTGAAATGAAGGAAGCAGCAAGTTCGGAACCACTTACTGAAGATTTGAATAGAAGTGGCAGTGGAATGAATGATAGTATCAGTGATATAGACGAAATCGCAGAAGTGACCAAAGAGGAAAAACCGAAGCCAGTAAAAAGAGGTTTCTTTTTTTTTGACGAATACTTTCGTAATTTTGAGAATTTTAAAGCGGTATGTCTTTTCTTTAAGAGAGTAATCGGACTTAACGGGTGTTAGAGTTCAGCTGATTGGTTACTAGTGATGATGATGATGATAAATACACTGGTTGTAAGTATAAAGATATATACGAACTCTCAGTCCTGTTCCTTTTTTTATTAAAATTATTGGACATAGCAGACTACTCTGTTCGAACTTCATTGGATTTACAGGCCTTCTTGATGAGCCAGTTGTACGAGAAGGAAAAAGACAACGTCATGCAGTGGAACGACTTGCAGCCGTCTCGTCTCCACCGTCAAGGAAAGCATCTTTGGATGCGGTTGGATCGGGAACTTCTCTTGGTGACATTGAATTCGGTAACATTTTTGTTTATAGAGCAGTGTTAAAATGCGACAATTGCAGAAATATTATGATACTGTTGTTATTGTGGTACAGCGGGATGTCGAACAGTATTATATTAGATTTCACTATCATAATTATCTTCGCACACCGATATTTTTTCTCTAGAAGGAAGAATCATACAATATACATTAAGGAACTGTTGAGACTTTAATGCTTTCCAAATGGTCATCTTTTTGGGTCTGACATCATTTTCTCTTTATTTGCATATCTTGTTCAGTATTTTTATCTTTTAGTGAATACTGGCATTTCTAAAGCGCAAAATGAAACATTGAAATGGCTTCATAGGCTATGTTACGGCACTCCTGGGACCGCAACATCCAGAAAAAGAGACCTGAGAAGATTTAACGGTTTTGCATTTGATGAAAAGAGTGCTGATTTCGACAAAAAGAAGGCAACGGCAATGAAGTTCACAAATAATGAGGTACTTAGTCTGAAGTTTTCTTCAGAAGCTTGGTGTTTACAACACAACATAGGTAGTGCTGAGCTAGAAATGACTAATGAATTAAAGCAGTGTAATAAGCATGCCTTTCCGATAGAAGCTCGTGATTTGAATTGTTGAATGATCTTATGTATTCCACCCACTGGAGGATCCGCGGTAACTGATTTAGAACGTTTACTATTTATTTAGATGAATACGGTATAATGAACATACTTAAAAATTCTTGCAAATATGTTCTTTCATCGTGTTTTGAATCTCTACCATTTCTGTTATACGATGAGATGCTGCAGTTTGATTTTGTGAAATACATAAATATCCAAAACTAATAGCGTTTAGGCCGGTTAGGCCGGTGGAAACCACACATTCTGAACTTTTGCTTGATGGCGAAAATCGCGAGCTTCTTTTGGAAGAAAATGCGCAATATCTTTGTCGTTATTGAGAGATACGTTGCATTTATTACAACAGAGCAAGATTTTTTCATAATGAAATGTTTAAATGATTTTGGCTTAGCAATAATACGTGTTTTTTTTTCCTTTACAGTTACATATGATTGGAAGAATTTTGGGTTCAGAGAGGGGACACACGAAGGAAGAAGCAGTAAGTGTATTTGTTAAATAATGACATATTTTTTCTGGTATGGAAGTATCTAAATTCATAAATCGATCTAGTTTTTGAAGACTTCACTAGTACAAAGTGAGAAGTAGGAGACATTTTGCATAGTGAAATTTTATTATACAACTTATTTAAGGTGATGAATGTCCTTCATTTCTTGCAAAAACCGGAAGATAAGGGCAGGAAGATCACATCAGCAAAGAAGCGAAGAAGTTCTTCAAAATCGACGGGGAAAAGAGTGAAAAGAAGCAGAATCGAGGGGAGAGGTATCTGCCTTCGGAAACGTGATAGGAATAGATAAATTGGACTTTTCAAAGCTTATTACGTGAAATTCTTGTAGGAAATAAAAAAAGCATAAGAAAATCAAAAGAAGAATCAAGTGAGAATGACGATGCTAGTCAGAGCGGGGAGGAATCTAGCGGTGATGAGAATACTGCAAAGAAGAAATCAGAATCGACAAGCACAACAAAAAATCGTTCGGAAAAGATGAAAAGTTCAACCAAATTAACTTCTGTTTCCAAAAGCAATACGGCTAAGGTTCGTTTTGAAGTTTTATTTTAGCCGATCATTTTTTGTATCTTAGTGGGGATTAGTATTAAGAGTGACGTAGAATTGATTTCATTTAAAGTCGTCCAAAAATGCCAGATTAGATAATGCATTTTGTTTCACAGTATCAAGAAAAAGTATAAATGTAAAACATTTACACTTTCAGTAAAACATTTACTGAGTATCAAGAGAAAATGTTTTATTGAGTATTAAGAAAAAGTGTAAATGTTTTACTGAGTATCACAGTATCAAGAAAAAGTGTAAAGGTTTTATGTAAATGTTTTACTTTAAGGAAGACCCAACTTGGGGCGACGGTGGACCTTCAAATGCAGAGGTGGAAGCTGCGATCAACGATATACTTCGTTCTGTGGATCTTGTGAATTGTACGATGAAGCAGATGTGTGAAAGGGTAGGGATTTCTATCATAATGGAGCCCAAAACTGGTGACGCTTCAAGGCTTAAAATATCCTAGGGAGGAATCATGTGAAACTACTCAAAATTGGTTAAGGGTAACGTTAATTAATAGAAGCTTTTTTAGTAAATGGCGCATAGGTAGTATGCTCTAAAACTTCGTGACGCACGACTTTTACACTCATGGGATCGAATGTTTTACTTGGTTGAAAGATCAGCTGGAAATTAGGAGCAGTTAACCGGTAGTATATAACTAATGAATCAGTCCAGAAGGAAAACCTAGACAAGACTGCTATTATCCTTATTGACTCTTATACTTGGAAAGTTACAACGTTTGTAGATTGCGGAAAAGTTCCCAAATTTGGATATGGTAACGTATAAAGGTGCACTGAAGGAACGCGTGAAATCAGCTTTGGAGAAAATGGAAGATTCATGAACCTACTGTCTTGTTGCTGATCTCTGTTATTGTATTAAATTTTTCATTTGCTACCTTCAAAGTTTGTTTTATTTTTCTAGATTTGTTTATTGCCTCAGCTTTTAATGGCGGCCATCCTTAGCCCCAAAATAATTTTTATTCACCTCATTGCATATTTCCTTTCCATCTTAATCACGGAATTTGTCCTTCTCATGTTTAATAACAGAAGATATATAACATTTTAACACTTATTTCATTGAGGACATTTATTTTAATATTCATTGTGAAGGCAAACTCTAACAGTCTAATAGTATGTGTCATATGCAGCGTTTGTACCATCTGAATTATACCGTTACTAGATTTTAATTATTATCTCGAAATTTCGAAACACCATTGTATTTAATATCAAGCTCAGAAATATTTTTCCATGAGAAACTATCAATTCCATAAGTGCTTAGCTTTTAGCTTCATTTTTAATGAATGCATTAAGCAGTTTAATCCGTTTGAATCTTTATTTTTTACTTTTAAAATAGAAGCGTCGAAGTAATTGGTTAACGATCTAATAATCTGATCCATGCCACTAACAAGCGCATCATCCCGATACATTGACATATTATTCGACTTGATTGTAATTATTGCAGTATTTCTTTGGTTTTTTTTTNTTTTTTTTTACTTTTTACTGCGTCAAGTCATTTATCCCACAGACTTATGCTTAATTATAGACACAGAATAGAATCGGCATCGAGACTTTAAGGATGAAGTTTACTTCCAAAGCGTTTCATATTTGAGAGATGTCAAGTGTGCCAATGAATGTTCTAGGAGACCCAAGTATGTTAATACAAGGAAGCTGGTTTAACAAAGATATGGTAATTCCACAAATGAAAATGCCAAATCTTTATCTTAACAGATGAAGTAATTTCTGATTCTTTTAAGAGTATTCTAAATGCAATGACTAGATTTTTTTAGTGCTAAATGTTTTTATTACCAATGTACATAAAAAAGGTGACAAGGGCTCATAATTTTGTTTTCAAACCAACAGACGACTTCAAAATGATTATAGCTGATATTCGCCCGAATTTAAAGAACATCCTACGGTAGTATTTGTGCACAAACATAACGAAAACAATTAAGTTATTTGCGATGGATGTACATGGCATAAAGAAAATGGAACAGATTCAACAAATCGGCCACTTCTTGTGATGAAATTTTGGCTGATTACCTACGTAACTTACCAGGTGAATGGAAGAAAGCTAGTGGGCGGCACGTGTAACAACCATATTTGCAGAAGGCAGCAAACCTGAAAATCCCATTTCAAGTTATAGGATAAGCAAATACAGAAACATGTTTTGCCAGATTAATAGCTGAAAACGTACCAAGAGCTTTGATGGGTGCTTCCATATCTTCATCGGTAAATATTTTGCGAGGGAATGGAGTCATGAGAGTAAAGGGGATGCCGTTCATTGTATCCTTACCATGCATTTCTACCCACAGACGTACATGAGATAATGGTTCGTCTGACTGTAAAACGATATCGTTACACGAAGCGCTGTTTGGTATACCCATATATGACCTCTGCCTGTTCGCATTATAAATCCATCAAAAACCCAATCAAAGTGGAGTAAGGATTTTACTAAAACTACAAAGCTGTTAAATGAACGATTTCCTAACATTTATGAATTTCGGCATGCAGAAATACGTAAATTTCAACGTACAATTGCTGAACTTTAACCGAACTAAATTTAATCTGATCTGTGTTAAAACTAAACTTACTTTAAATTTCTCCTTGATGACCGAACCATCAAGTAACCGTACTTGTATTTGACAGTAATCACCAGCCTTTACTGGAGACGCCTCATTTACAGCAAGCAATTGTGAATCAACTGTCACTGCTGTTGGCTGCGGCTGCCGCAGTTGTTCAGCTAACTTACGAGCTTCTCGATCCAAACGAATTTGTTCCAAAACACGTTTGCGCGCTTCCATTTCCTTAACAAATAATTACAGTTCTTAACTAATATTATTAAATAGCTTCCATCCAAAACTTTTTAAGACTTCACTTCACGCTTTTCACGTTTCTTTTCTTCCAACATTTTCTTCATTTCCACTTCCTTTCTTTCTTCCTCCGCTTTTGCAATTGATTTTCCTTCTAGACGACGGCGTTTCTCCTACAACAATTTTTTTCCTACTACAGTTGTTCAAAGAATTGCAATTTCCAGGAAATTATTATGGTTGAAAAATCGATGGAAATAAATACCGACTTTCTCCAATGTTTCCTTTCTCTCTTCTTCCTCCTTCTTTGCTCTTGCTTCTTTTAATTTATTTTGTAATGCTGCTAATCTTTCTTTCTTTTCTTCTTCTGTCAACGGCTTCACAGCTTCCGTTGACTCGCTAAATGCTTCATGTTTTGTACGTGCTGCATGGAACATAACGGCCTGATCATCGACTAAGTGTTTCCCACATCTAAAACGTCTAGTATGTGAAGTAATCACTCGTCTACGAAACTTCAGGTGTTTGTGAAAAGGTCAGGTGTTCGTCGGTTGAAGTCATAAGAAGCCAACAAAAAACTACGCTGCATATATCATATGAAAGAATACTATTTACTAAAACGATGTTACTGATAAAGCCTAGCCAAATCTCTTGATTTCAAAAATATGTTTTGTCGACCACACATATCTGCCATTCCTCTTTAATACCTTCTTATCCTACTAACATCTCCTGTAACTAATCATTCAACATCATATACAGAAAATTTCAAACATGCATACACATCGCATTTGAACGACATTGCTTGTGGTGCTTCAGTAGACGACGGCTTCGATGAATCCTCTTCTTCAGCAAATTCAACAATCGAACTTCCCTCTTCCGGTGGCTGTGGCTGAGCAGGTTTCGGTGGATCTATATCACTATCCTTCTGATGGGCCGCAATCCATTCCACTGCCTCAATCAATCCTGTTTCACCTGTTTCTCGTAACGCCTTTTCGCTAAAACCAATAATTTCAGCATGAAATCCTGACGAATCTTACGCAATTCCTTTCAGTAATTTACATACTCATTTTCATATTATGCAAACTGTTGTAAAAATTTTTTAAAATGAATGAAATCTTACGCGATATCGTGAGGAAAACCCATCTCTTCCAGTTGATCCAGCATCGACATTTCCTATACAGTTACTTACTTTCCAATATCCTTTAATTCATACAGAACCATCAGTGACAAGTTATTCATTTCAGTAAATTAAAACAATTAAGTGCGAGATTAATCTACAAAGGGAAGTCGAAGGACTGTATGGCAGAAGCTAACGAAATTCCGAATTTGAACGAATTTCCCAGAATACCATTACTATTTCGCCAGCCTAATTCAAATCCTTCTTTCAACTTTTACTTTCGAAAATATACGAAACTCTTCGAAAGGATTTTCTACCTCGACGAAATACCACATTTACACGGCACAAAACATGCATGAAGGAGACCCAACACTTGCTCTTCATGCAAGTCGACGTGTTTGACAACGATCAATGCTTTCAATTTGGTTGATACTCGAAGAGAAGAAAAATTATATTTAAAGGTCTTATTATTTACCTCCAAACTACAGCGTATTATCACAATGTACAAATGATGTATTACAACATCCAATGTTAAAGAAACATTTAAACAGAAAAAAAGAAAAAGAAAAAACATATTTTATTGGTAAAAACGCTTGCTGAACAAAGTAAGCAACCTGTCAAAGCGAGGAACTCAGTAATTTTTAAGTAGAAAATTTAAAAATTTGCTTTTCTTTGATGAATACCTGCAGAAAATAAATACCTAATTAGAGTCAATCGCAGTAACGAGGAAATTTTAATAAAGAATGAAATAAGTTATGAAAGAGGATATGTACCTAGAAAACTAGTAATGAATATACACAAAATGCATTTGCAACTGCATAAGACAAAGAAAGAGCGCAAATAGTTGAAAAAGTTTAAAATCAATATGCAAAAGAGAACGTATACAAGATCTTCAAAATATTAATACACAATCAAAACAATCCAGTATTTTTTAAAAAAGGAAAAAAAGAAAACAAAATTTTCGGTGCAAGTGATACTCCAATGTGACCTGCCGCGATCCCAGTTATATTCAGAAAAAAGATTTCCGAGGAAAATTTATTTTGAGAAAGGAGTACTAACTTAAGAAATGTGTTTACACAAAATCTTAGAATTCACACAGAAAGTGAAAATGAGTATATGTACAATCATCAAACAGAATCAAACCGATTCAAACTGAAGCTTTTAAGGCAAACCAAACTTTCCAGTTTCGTATGCTTCGAATGAGAAAGTTAAACTTCGACATATATATTAGGCAAGTGCTGTAGAGATCGCGAAACAACATGTATGTTTTGATAAAATGAGCGGTAACACATTACATTCGAACTCATCTGCTCCCTCTGCAAAAAAAGTTCATTATGAATCGCCTTGGCACTCATAACTTTGGAAAGTTGCTAAGAAAACTGGCACTCAAGGTGCTAAGAGTAGAAAGGAAGTTGCTAAGAAAACTGGCATAACATCACTGCCTGCTCTTTTTGTGTTGATCCAACAATCACAACTGAATTTGAGAGCATTAACCTTGCACAGAACAACACTTCACACACGTGGTGGGAGCTCAATTCGCGATGAGCTGTAAACATCGCAGAAATCACAACGACATTTCCTCAGTTCCCATGCTTCAACCTGAACATATTCTTTTAAATTACTAGAAGTGATTTGAAAAAAAAGCAGCAATTTGTCGGAGTTATATTTTCAACATGCAGTAAGTTTGAAATTTTAAACAAATCGAAAAATCATCAGCGAACTAAAGAGAATGCATATGAAAAATCCATTCAGCTATAAAATCTTCATAAAATTGTTTGCTCATTTCTTAATAATAATTAGCCACTGTCTTCCAGCCAACCAGAATTTTTCCGCGGTGAAAATCCCTTACTTTGACAAAAGGAGTGTCATTATTCTTCCCGATATGCTCCAATAAATTAACCACCAGTGAACCGTTTTGCAAGCGCTCCACTCGATTCTCTAGACATAAGATTAAAAACAGACATAAAGGGAAAAAAAAACTCTTTCTACAAAGTTATTTCGCAATAAAAACAAAGTTAGCAACACCGAGTCTTTCAATTTTTAAAAATTTGTGCTCACTTTTCCCTGCTGCATTCTGCGTGGAAGTAATCTCAGCCATTAGTGAGTGACGTCTGCTTAAGAAATCTTCCTGTCGCGACTGAAACAAGATTTTTCCAACATTCACCACAATTTCTGATTCGAAATAACAAATGAAGCATGTTATCAGCGATACTTTTCCAGATTTAAAAAAAACTTGAATTGTTACCAGCGGATCAACTGCTATGCCTTCTACTGCTATATTTAACATTTTTTCCATCGTCTCTTGACCACGCCGAACTGCTGCTTCCAGGACAGCGATATCTTTCTTCAGCTGAGCTAGTCTCTTAGTTCTACTTGCATTTTCAGCTAACTTTTCACCAGCATCACCATCCAGTCTTTGTCTCTTCGGTTCTGAAAGATAAACCTTTCTTGATTCACTGCCACTTCACGTTTTTTGAAAAAGCATACCCAACCCCTTATTTATTTAACACTGCAAGATTTAATTTACAAACAGTGGCTGTCTTTCTTGAATACTATATCCGTCTCTGTAAACACCCCACATTCTCCTGAAATACACATTAACAACGTGTATAGGTCAGCCATAGGGCAGTCATTCCCTTATCAGGTTAGCAAATCCATCCTTCAATAGTTTTGAAACATCAAAACAAGTGAAACAAAATCTCAACGATACCAACCAGTGGAAGAATCGATGCATTCAGGTCTTTCATGATGAGCCAACAAACTTGATGTGCAATCCATCTGATCGTCCACAGTGAACCCTTCAGCTACACCTTCCATTTGGATGAAAATGGCCTGTGCTTTTGAAATACTTTTCCTTGAACGAATGAAAATAAAAGAAAAAGTTATTACAAAGATACCTTCCTATCCGTTTTCCATTGGACCATAATTTCTGTCCTTTTCTTACGTCTCGCTTTCAATTGCACTTCTCTAGTCACAATGCATTTACTCATTTAAATTGCATGTTCCTACGGTTTTCCCCTCAGAATCATCCCACAATTTCTCCGTTTCTCTGTGGCAATCATCAAGTTTTCTTCGTTTTCATTCAACCCTGACAATACTTCCCCGGACATTCATCCCCTCCCACCCCCTCATCTTCCGTACGCGACACACGAGACACGGAGCTGCCCATCGCGCCCAACCAGTGCGGAACCAATACGAATCAGCAAGCCGAACTATCCCAAGACGAAGTTTATGTTGTGTTTCGGACTTTTGCAGCATTATATTGTTTGGTGAAGTTTAGGTCTGCAAAGGATACAATCATTATGGGAAGAAAGCGGGGGGAGGGGGAGTAGGTTGTTTGTTTGTTGGGGTTGTACTTGTATGAACTGTTAACAAGCTTCTCGTAGCACTGCAATAGTGGCCATTTTCCTTATTGGCCAAGGAGACATCGCCAGGCTCCTTGTAGACAAAAAAAAATTTAACGGCGCCAGTGTCAGTTACTAACTGCTAGGTTCAAAGCGTCGTTGGAATGGAGAATTCGTCGTGCTGTTTGTCTCTAACTACGTGTTTCGTATATTTATTACTTAGTTATTGGACGCGTGGGTTTGAATATTATGCCGCATACATGAAAAATTGTGTGTTCAGCGTGTTACTAGGGCAGTGATAAGGACGGAAAGGAAGTTACTTTGGGTGGTGATAAGTTTTGATTGTTTATTCTCACGTGCGAAGTTCATCGAAGACTGTTTTTTATTATATTAAAGAAGTGCTATGACTGCACGCCCCTTGGTAACCATTTACAATGATAAGAGCGAAGCGACTGATAGTCAGATCAAGCTACCGGGCGTTTTCCGTGCACCGTTACGTCCAGATATTGTTTCCTTTGTACACGACCAAATAAGAAAAAATAAACGTCAGCCGTACGCCGTCTCAATTGAAGCTGGTTTGATTCTTTGTCTTTTTTTTTGCCTTTGACATTTAAAGTACGGTGCTTTATTGAAACTCTGTGGCACTCCATAAACCCCGAGGGGGATGATGTTATGGACGCAAATTGGACTAATCTTATATTGGGATAATAGTAAATGAGAACAGTGAAAGAGTTGAATTTAGTTGCAGGGATATCCGCTGCTCAAAATATCTGAATACTTATAATGACTGTATTAGTTTGTCGGCTAGAGGAAAAGTACCAAGTTAACGAGAAAAGAAGAAAAGCTTTCACGAGGTCTGGAATAACTGTTATCCCATAGATCTAGACATTTTGACTATATTTAGGGCATCAAACTTCGGCGGAATCATGGGGCACAGGTCGTGCGGTAGCTAGAATCCCGCGTGTACGAGGTGGTGGTACGCATCGTTCTGGACAGGGTGCATTTGGTAACATGTGCCGTGGCGGACGCATGTTTGCACCAACTAAGGTTCATTTCTGCGTTTCAATTTGTTTTTGGCAATATTTTCGACTTTTAGATCACTTGTGATTGGCTTATGTCACGGATTGGTCTCATTTCGAGGACTTCGACATATTTACTTCAACTATTTTGTTCTCTGGTATTTTTTTAAATAGTCATTAACTGTTTTCAAGGAAATCAGCTGTTGATACAGCAATTTTTTTAGGTATTCCGACGTTGGCATCGTCGTGTTAATGTTGCACAAAAACGTTACGCGATGGTTTCGGCTATAGCTGCTTCGGGTGTTCCAGCTTTGGTGCAAGCCCGCGGACACATCATTGACCAAATACCGGAAGTCCCATTTGTTGTTGTTGATAAGGTGGAAAGCTTCAAGAAGACAAAAGAAGCTGTTTCATTTCTGCGTCGTTCACATTTTTGGGCTGATATCGAGAAAGTTAGTTTCCACATGATGCTTTTTTAAATGTGGGAAAATGATTTTTGAAGCTTACACTTCACCAACATAAATTCAGAGTAGAATGGTGGTACTGCCTAGATAACTAATTTAATTTCTCCATATGTTTTTTAGGTTTATAATTCGAAACGTAACCGCGCTGGTAAAGGAAAAGGACGCAATCGCCGTCACAAGGCTAAGTTGGGTCCCCTTATAGTGTACAGTCAGGATAACGGTATCGTCAAAGCTTTCCGAAATATCCCGGGTGTTCACCTGCTTCCAGTTGACCACCTTAATTTGTTGAAAGTTGCACCTGGTGGCCATCTTGGACGTTTGATCATCTGGACGGAATCTGCTTTCCGTAAGCTGGATCTTATCTATGGAACAGAAACACGCAAAGCCGTTGCCAAGGCCAAGTTCGTCATGCCTACAGCAAAAATGGCAAATGCTGACTTTTCACGACTGATTCGCTCGGAGGAAATTGTTAGGGCCATTCGACAGAAAAAGAAAAACAGATTTAAGGTTAGAGCGGCAAAAGTGCATCGCAACCCGTTAAAAAAGTCCGCAATCATGGTCAAGTTGAATCCATATGCAGCAGTACTGAAACGTACCACTATTTTGACCAATCGTAGACGACTTGGAACGCAACACCCATTTGAGGAAAAGATTCAGGTAATGTCTTTTCTTTCCTTTTTTTTTGTATTTTCAAGGACATCCATGTTACTATTGACATCCGAAACAACAGCTGGATTCAACAGAATCACTCCTCTTATATGGCCTATATATGGAGCCTGAGTCTTAGCTTTTTTCTCGAAGGAAGAATGGTTAAACATGAAGCCAGAGTTTCTGTAAGCTGTATAAGTAAAACTCTTCACCAAATCTATTCTACAGAAGAATCATTTACCTATCACCACCATACATTTCAGATATCACGTCGGAAGGCATTTGAAAAAAAGGCTGCTCAGAAGACGGAAAAAAGGCTGCTCAAAAGACAGCGGCTGCAAAGTAAAAACATATTGGTTGTCATATAATTTGTTATACATCGGAATTTCGTTGGATAAATTTTCACGTAAATGTTGGAGAGGTCAGCAATTTATAATGTATTCATAATAAAATCATAGGGAATACAGAGTTTGAGTTCAGGCAGGGTGGAAATATTATAATTATTCAGTAATTCAGAACTGCAAAAAAGAAAAAATCAGAAATTCAGAACTGGAAAAACTTGGAGGCTCACCAGGAAAACATCAGAGTAATGGTTTGTGTATATCTTCCGTCGAATGGTGGGTCACAATATATACCATCCCAGATACGGACAAAATGACAGAGATGCAATGTTCTTGACAATTTGTCTCACGAGAGATCGGACAGAGTGGAAAAAAAACAACTAGGCGAGCACGAATCGCAAAAGGCTTTCGAGAAAAATTCATAAACACTATTAACATACAATTCATGCAAGGATACGCTAACTAGTAAATCAGTAAAGCGAAAGGTAAACATTTGCGTGGCACATTTGTTTGAATATAACGAGTGTATACGACTGATTGATAACATGGGAAATGGCCATATTTCCCACAATAGTAAAACTGACTAGTTTTGGAAAGCTTCATTTTGGAAACCCGAAGAATGATTAAATGGACGTCGGTCTTTTATTCTACACTCCGGCTTATTTCGCGTAACTTCCATTTTGAAACCTTCAGCGAGGAAATCTGCGCTAAAAAAAGGTTGCTGAAGGCAGAAAACGGGAGTGAGTAAAAAACTCATAAAAAGTGAAGATTTTTCTTTCAAAAATCAACATTCCTATGTTTGTTGCAGTAGCTCTTTTGCTGCATGTCTTTTCAACTGTTACAAAAGGTAAAAAGGAAATTTTCTTGGGAACAACAGCACACATATGAGAACTGCCGGATGCACATATCAGAAACTGATAATTTCCAAGGAAAACTCCTATGAGTGATAGCTTGCAAAAATGCAGAAACAAGCAATAACTTTCAAAAAAATGCAACAAGAGTTCCCCTCGGACCCCATTTTCCTCTTAAATAAGGAAGGGAAGTTCTAGTCTGATTTTCGTCAAGAAACAACTAAAAGTCGCTAAACTTACGTTGAATTCTCCGTTAATTTGTTTACGCTGTTCGTCGTCTTCCTGATATTTTTGTCGATTCTTTGGAAGATATCCTGCAGGCTTTCTTCGTCGATATCTTGTGACTTCTTTGATTCCTCACAGCACCGGTCGTTCTTCACATTCATGGGTCTATCCATTGCACGACCTCTCTCAAACATTTCATCATAGATAGGTATCTCGACATATTCCTTGAGGTAGAAACTTTCGTTCGACCACAGACGATTCAACCGTTTTATTTCGCTCATCTATAACAGATATCTTGCTGGTACTGCTGCCGAAAACAATACGCTTCAAGTGTTCGCCTTACTGACAGAATTCCTAGTTCTTAACTAACCAACTCCTCGAAGACTATTAAGTTCATTATCATAAGTAAATTGTTTCTCCAAAAATAAGGAAAAAGCAGAGATGAAATTAGGAAAAACTATATATCCCACTTACATGTTTTTTGGGGGAAAATTCCTACTAAATACTTAATTTGAGGAAAAGAAGTTTTCGACTTTATTGCTCGTATTACGGAGATTTTTAAAGACGCATCGTAAAGTCAACAGCTGAACCCCATTAAACTTTTTTTTCCCCTCCGTAGCAACAACCAAGTTCCTAAAGATCACGGCACCGAGGTTACAGTACACCCCGCATGATTTGCACTGACCGAGAATCATCTACATGAAATAAATTTAATACGAAATATTTACTGAAGTATTATATTTAAGAACGAGTCCTTGAAGTGTATCATTCGGTTTTATCTGATGTTGAATGACTGTACGATAAGTTTTTGCGGAAATATGAAGATTTGACAAGCTGCCGTATCCGCGTGTTCGCTGATAACCACACAAGAATGTGCGCTCATCTTGACCTTCCATTTTTATACCACATCATTAGTACTCAACAACCTGAAATAATTAATCAATGCAAAAACAATATAGAAAGTCCCCTCCACGTGCTGATCGGAATTAACAATTTATCAAGCGTACACAAAAAAATGCCGATCCAGAAAAGTAGCGCTACGACCCGTGTATGGATTTAACTAACCGTAAGAATGTCGTTGCAAATGAGCTCACAATCGTGTATTAGCTCTCATAAATTAGGTTGGTTGGTTGGAAGATTGTGTGGAGTTAGGAGAAGGTGGGTAGAAAAGGATTACTAGAGTGCACTGAGTTGAAACACAGGAGGAACATAA